AAACCAAATAATACTGCACGCATACCAACGGCCCTTCAAGTAGTTAATCAACTTCACACGTGTATATGACAGAAAACTATCGCTATATATCCGCAAAAATAAGAGATATAACATAACAATACGATTACAACAACATACACACTAAGACATATTACACACATAGCTTATAATTATAATTTTAATTGTATAACTTATTCTTTTAAAAGATCTTTATCTTTAATTGTATTTTATATTTTGTATTATTATATTGTGATATATTTGTCAAGAATCCAGCACTATTGTATCAATTATATAAAATGCAGTTCAATAGTTTAAAAATGTGGTAATTGTGTATTGCCTGATGATGACTTTCTAAACAGCCGAAACATGTAGCTAAATACTATTAAACGTTAACTGTTTTATTGTTGTGTTGTGACGGATTCTAATAAAGAATTTTGAAAATTATAATTACTGTTAAGTTGTAGTACATTAAAATATTACGGAGTATCTTCAGAATAAGATTACAAATGGATATTTGACATTCTTGCTTTGTGTTGTACCACGTTAAAACACTGAAATTGTGATAGATATGAAGTTGTAAATTTTGTTATACCACACTAAAACCCTAATTAAAATGATAATCTAATGAGACAAAATAAACTAACCTGCCCAAATCAAACGTAGTCACATTTCGGGACGTAGAGTGTAGGTGAAGGGGACGGCATAATATATGTGGCAGGTAACCAATGTATTTTGTTGAATTTTAAATCACTTTTCACTAAACACGTCACCCCTCAGGCCATGTACGAACGTATTTCTTCATAAGCATTTCTTCCCTTCTTAAGTAAACTGACCGAAATTACTCATAACGCACGGAATTTCGTTGGATTTTAAAAAGAGTATTAGTGAGCCGAAAATAAACGTGACTTACAGATTGTCTCGGAGATCGAACACAGAAATCATTCACTGGCAGTGCACTAGCCTAACAGTAGGATTACTACGCGAGTCGGAAAATACATCCTATCTACTACCTTAATTTTACGATATTTATTATCAGACTTGTAATTGAATGTTACATAATTATTCACATTAAAAGAAACTGAAATAAAAAATATGAGATCAATGAATCATAAAACATAATAACAATAATCGACTTAATTATAAGAGCGACTAACGGAGGATATCAAGGGATCCACAGTGGATCAAAATCATAATCATATTTGTATGTTTTATTAATTCCTCGTGTAAAACGCCAATAATCAGATAATTCATAATATACGAGTATATGCATAATGAGAGGATGGCTGAAATCTGTAACCCCAAAACCTTGGAATCACATAAATATTACAGACGCAGCCATTACTGGGCAACGTCTGGGCGAAACACGTGTCCCAAGAAAAGGACACACACCCAATAGTCGACACACTTTTGAGTTCGGTGTTATTAGTCAGCCCCTCTTCTGCCCATGTATAGGAGAGAACAAATTTCTTGGTCATGGATCTCGACGGGACTTGGAACAAAGAATTACTGTGCTGGCGAGGGTCAGCAACAATTTAACCAACCCACCGACTGGCTAGATCCTTCTAACGAACAGGGAGCCCGATGCCTGGGGGTATAACTGGGTCACAGTCTCAGTGGGAGATATAAATACAGGGGCCCGGTCCTCCAGGTTGGGGGAGTCTCGAATCTGAGAGTGAAATATGGTCATGAGCCCCGCGGGACTCAGAAACAAGAATGACTTTGCTGGCAAGGACCAGCAGTAATTTATCGTTTAAGGAAGGGCAAAACAGATGTAGTGCCTACACAGAAAGACTGACCCCTCACCTCGTTGAAGAGGATGCCCCTACATATCTTGGTCATGGGTCTCGAGGAGACCTGAAGCCAAGAATGACTTTGCTGGCGAGGATCAGCAACGATTTAACCGACCGTCCAACGCAGAGCCACGGAAAAATAAAATACTGTCATCACTCCCGTGGGACTTGGCACTAAGAATGACTGTTCTAGCGAGGAACAACAGTAATTTACCCGACCGACAGATCAACAATCAGAACATTTTACTTTTTATTTCTAATTTCTTTGCTGGTACAGGTATCCAATACGCGAATCTTCTTATCAGAGTTATGGAGTCTGTGTGGCCTGTGATATATTTTATAAGTGATTATTTTTGTGTTTTATCGTAATTACTGGTTAAGAGGTTTTTAGTTCCATTCCGTTGATCTGGTCATTCCTGAATGCCAGCGTAACAAAGAAATACAAGGCCATAACTTTAAAAAAATTTAATTTTAATTTAATTTTGGAACGTTGTCTCAAGGCCTTTCCTGCGAATTCATAGTCTGAATATTATGCAAAGTAAATTTACTGTTACACATTTTTTTTATTGCTAGTGGGGTGGGACTAAGTCCCTTGTATTGCGGCCACTTCTGGCCTATTGTACCAGCCCCAGATGATAGGTGAGGGTGACTGTGGAGCAATTGGTGGAATGAATATTGGCAGGGGAAACCGAACTACTCGGAGAAAACCTGCCCCAGCACCACTTTGTCCACCACAAATCCCACTTGACCAGACCCTGGATCGAACCTGGGCCGCCGCGGTGGAAAGCCAGCGACTAACCGCTTGAGCTATGTCGCGGCCTAATCAGGAGTACAAATGCTTCTGAATTCCTCTGGAAAGATCAGACTTCTGCACTGGTTGTTTTGCAAATTGAGGTTCTTGTACTTTGGTTTACTAGGGACGTTTCGTCAGTGTATTTAAAGTGTCAAAGAAGAAATAACAGGAAGCTGGTCAATGATGAATTGAAAATTATGTGGCAGGAAATGGCCATGTTATTTGCCTACAAATCACGAAATCTGTCAAGTTCCTGGTTGAGATATGAACCGATAACTCCCAAATACAGAAGAGTGTTAACGACAGTACTGCGAATTTCGGCAATTAATACCTGTTTATTTATTTCTTAGGGGGAACGCGATAGCGTAGTTGGTTGAGGGGCTATGCTACAAGCCGGAAGGTAGCGGGTTCAAGTCCCGATGAGGTCATTGAATTTTTTTCAATTTACCTAATCCTTCCAGCCGCACTATGGCCCTGGGGTCGACTCAGCCTCTAACAGAAATGAGTACCAGGAATCTTCATGGATGTAAAGGGCGGCTGGCGCGTAAGGCTGACAACCTTACCGCCATCTGTGGGTGGATTGTCTAAAATATATGGGAGCCTCGACGTCTCACCACCCTAAGGGCCTCCACGGTCTCTTACACGTAACTTTTATATTTCAAAATATTATGTTCTTCATATTCACCATCTTAAAAGGTCGAATCTCACAAGAGTACCTGTGTGTTACAGTTCGGCTTGTATGTCACTTTAATTAGAGACCTTAAAAATGTATGGGATCGAAAGAATGCTTTAGTTGTATTTACTTGACATGACTGTGCAAATTCTTAGCCTACTTTCTATTTTAATAAGAAAGGCAGGCACGTATCTATGTGTCCCTCTTAAATTTCTCAATTTCGTGATAGAATTTTACAAAATATTCTAAGAAAGCAATGGCAAAGCGTTGATGTCCATGGTGTTTGCAGGGTGTACACTTTGAGAAATGAAATGTAGGTGTTACTTTAATGGTTCAGTGGCATTGCACCTACTAATAGGAGAAGAGATCAGATCTATCACCTCCATCCACTCAATCTTAAGTTAGTTAGGCACTTCCCTACCGTTTCCTTTGGCCGTTTCTTAGCTCTAGATGAGACACGATATAGCATTGGTCTTAGGGGGGGGGGGATAACATTCCAAGTGTTAACACATTTCAGTTGTCTTGTGCTAGCCTAGCATATCAGCCATCGAAAGGAAGCAGGCAAGAATGAAAAGGCCAAGTTCATATTTCTGCTCGAGAATAAGATTTTGAGATCTTGACAACAATTTTTAAATTAAAGTATTTTTAGGGTTCTTCTGCATCCAAAAAAAAACTATTCGAAATAATGCAAACTGGAGGTAACGAAATCAGTTACTGAGTCAAAGGAATGGAAAAATTTCAGATATTTCTGACAGAGAAGCTCAAGAGTTAGGAAAAGTTTCTTTCAGAAAGTAAGAGTTACACATACAGAGATACATAACACCAAGAGTTCCTGGCGACTAGAAAACTACTCTCAGTGACGATATGATAATACTGATCAAGAAGACTCGTATCGCTGTGTATACTGTGGTATGCTCAACAATGTTAACGGACAGCGGACCAGGGGATCAGACTAAATTCCTTTCACTTCCAGAATTTGGGAATTTTATGCAGTACGCTGACAAGCTTCCAGCTACTGCTTATGTGTGCTAATTGATATTATATGGCCCATATTTCGATGCTCTTATTCTGAAAAATAAAATTTTCATTATTTAAACTTCGGAATAATTTTTAAATGAAATAATATTTCAGACCTCAAATATTTTATCGCTTGAAATCCGAGAGTGTCATTAGAAGAAGTCAAAGTTATCTGACTTGTCATCAACGATTCCAACAAACTCTTGAGCGGATGTTGCCTGCCCTGAAAGAAGAGCTAAGCTACGCAACATGCAGTCATAACAGACTCACTAACATGGTCACCATATGTTGTCATTAATAGCAATTGGCCAACAAATTCTCCACTACAAACAGTGGAAAGAAAAACTGATAGCTGTGGTTCAAATTAATAATAAAAAAATTTGTAGAAATTTGTTTTTATGTGCAGTTTTTTTAACTGGAACATAACATTACAACAGACATTTGTGATCCTGCCTAGACTGATGTACAAGCCTTTTGTCTTCTCTTTACTCTTTATTTTCTTTAAGCACTGTACACTACTGGGCAATAGAAATATATACATATATATGCCTGCTGCTGAATAAGGGAACAACAACTTTGTTAAACTACACATATGCCCTATCTGTGTGCACACTTGGAAATATACAAAGGAGAAAACTGAATATTGCATATCAGTAAACTTTACATTGTGCCAGACTGCTGCCGCAGATATCTTATTCTGTATATCTCCTTGGTCTGATGGTTACAGTTGTGACGGGGTCAACCGATGGCATCGGGAAAGCATATGCTTTGGAGTTGGCAAGGAGAGGTGTGAACGTTGTTCTCATTAGCCGCACACAGAAGAAGTTGGATGAGGTAGCAGCAGAGATCGGTATGTAGTTTCAGTCCCATATTTTGCTTTGAAAAGGAATTAAAAAGTTATAAATTTGTTTCATTGAACAATACAGTAGCAGTCTTGAATGTCAGATTTTCCACTTAATGTCCCCAGGTTGGTCTCTTGAGCATTCTAACTTCTGTCCATGTGGCATGGCTTTAATGTGGTAGTAGAAGTAGTAGCAGCAGTAGAAGTAGTAGTAGTAGTAGTAGTAGTAGTGGTAGTAGTAGTAGTAGAAGCAGTAGTGGCTGCAGTGGCATCAGTAGTAGTAGTAGAAGCAGTAGTGGCTTCAGTGGCATCTGGCATCAGTAATAGTAGTAATAGTAGTAGAGGCACCAGTACTAGTAGTAGTAGGAGGAGGGGGGAGGGGAGGAGGTGGGGCAACAATAATGATGAGAACTAACAATAAAAACAACACCCCACTCACTACATTACAGATTATCTACTACCAAAGGAAATGTAATCACATCTTTGGATCTTGACAGTGATAAGATGTTATAAAAACGGTTCTAGGATGACACATCTTCATTAAATGGTAACCCTAACTACATATATCCTGGTGATGCCAATATTATACTTGAAATTTTTCATACATTATTTTTCAGGATGTAAGACTAAACTGGAAACTGGTGAATTTAAAATTTTGCTTCTAAAGGTAGGTATTTTGTAATTGATTAAGAAAACGTATAAGAGCTTTAGAATTCACAGAGTTTGGAGAAATATTAATACTCACTGCCTTCTATACATGTTCCATCAGAACAGAAAGACCAGTTGGGCTTACAGTATGGAATTTTATACTATCATATTTAATGTTACACTAGCGGCCTCCGTAGTCTAGAGGTAACATTCCCACCTCATGACTCATGGTACGCGGATTCAAATACCCGGCAGAGGTCGTCGAATTTTTAAGGGTGGAAAAATTCAGGGAACAAGTCCTCCAGGAGGGACTTTAAGCTGTGTGTCCCATGTCGTAACTTTACGGCACGTAAAAGAACCTCATGTCCCCAAAGGGGATCACTGAGCCAAATTCCAGGACGTTTCCCGCCCAACAATAGTCTCTAAGGCCTCTGATAGATGGGGGAAGCATTATAGACACCGCTAAGCAAGTGGCCGAACTCGCTTGCTCGGCGGGACTGATGGTACGCTCCATTTATCGGTAGGGTATAGAGACTGGTAGAATATCATAGAGGGAAGCACAATAGATCAAACTGGTCGCGGTGCATGGGGAAACCCACCCTCTCTAAATAACTAACTAACTAATGTTACACTTCTTCCAGCATAAATTTCCATTATAGTTCATATAGTTCATAGTTTTTTACAAAACTGATGTTAGGAAACAATGATGTGTGTTCAAAATGTATGTCATTATATAAGTTTTCAGAAATATACTTTGAAGTACACTAGTGATACAGTCGTATCAAAAGTCATGTAAGTTATCATGAAGGTAGGAATCAAAATGATGAATATCAAAAAAGTATTTAATGAAAATCAACCAACTGCTTGAAATGTTATTCATGGCACTGACGGGCACATAGATATAATGATCTAACACTTCCTTTCCTCAAAGAATATGAAAAAGCAGTGTTTATCATGAAATTTCCACATAATTGATATAAGTCAATAGGTCACTCAGAAAGAAATGGAGGAATCCCTCATTTAACTACCACTGTATTTATGAATTTTCCATACAACCCCCCTCCCTCCCCCCAAGATGGATAAATACATACACAACACATGAGGAGAAGGGGATAAGCAGACTTCTCAACCCACGTGTATCTCTCACTTTCCCAATCTGTTTGCAAGCCTCATTGTTGTCATACAGAAAATTAGCTGTGTCCTTCACTGGCTTCCCACCATGGTGATCAGGGTTCCATCCCAGGTCAGGCCATGTGGGATTCATGGTTGATGAAGTGGCACTGGGGCAGGTTTTCTCTGAGTACTTAGGTTTCCCCTGCCAATTCTAGTTCCATCATCTGGGGCTGGTATGATAAGCCAATTAGTGGCCAACGTACCAAGTGTATGCAGTATCACCTCACCCCATGAAACTAAGTAGCTGTGTTTTTGATACCTGTGTCTTATCCATAAATATCTGTGTTATCATAATTTATTATAATTGTTGCACAAATGTGCAGGGTCTACCATGCACCTCACTGCCTTTATTGTTGGTAGAACTCATAGTAAATTCTTTTTCTTCTGTCATGATGAATTAGGCTCTGTGGCCTGTCCCCATTCAGAATAATTATGAATCTTATGGACAGTCAGTAGGACTCCTTGGACAGGAGATCAGCCCATCACAAGACCGCTACCTATACGGTACAACACAAATACAAAGAAATAAGACAACCATGTCTCGATTGAGATTTGAACCCATGACCCCCAGTGTTTCAGCAGACAAAGATATTTCATGCCTTAGCCTGTGCGGCCACTGTTGCTTACTGCTGTTACTACCATACCGATGGACAATCTATATATGTTTTCCACCTATAAAAACGTGCAATTGAGAAGTTCCGTTAGCATGAGAATGAAACTGCAGTATTTCATTGCATCAGCTATGATAAAATAAATGCAATTAAATAATAGTCAAAGTCGAAGTCACATTGCGACTGACAGTCAGTCAGTCAGTCAGTAAGTCTTGGTGTCGAGGTGGTTCTGGAGTTCGTGATCAAATAATAGTTTCATTTGTGACAATAAATATCATAAACAAGTAAAGTAACACCGTCCTTAATATAATGTCTGTTCATTATTAAAACATATGTTCAAGTATTGGGGGAAATTTCTGGGACTCATAAACAAGACAGGGATAATTACAAGTAACATAATGGGAATACTGCTTTCGGTATATGAATTTTCATCTTGTGAACAGTTAGCATAGAACAAATTAGCTCATAAATTGAAGAATACCTGTACTGCATTTATGGAAGCTCAAAGGAAAACAGCTGATTCTTGTATGTGAAGTGATGCAGAAGACTAGTTATATTTCTCTTAATTATTAATATATTTATGGTGCTTATAAGATCAGATCTATCTTTATGCATGTTTGTTGGACGTTGCTTGCAGAGTAGAATTTAAAAATGTTTTATGAAATTCTTTACACACTGAGATACTCAGGTTTCATAATTATACAATTATTATCAATATTACTTCTTATATTATCATGAGTAATCAACAACTTTTGAAGTGTGAATTTCTCTTATGTGGCTTTGAATTTAATTCATTTTCCAGCAATCAACATGATATTAATACTATATGAATGAGTTTACTGAAGCACAGATGTATAAAGTGAGTAATGAAATAATTATGCTGAGTTTGTATTAAGTCTGAAGAAGTCATTATTCTTGCAATTTAATATTGCATTCATAATGGAATACACATTCTGAATATTTTGCAGATAAGAATACACTGCATTTCAGCTGATTTCATTGTACTGTTGGCAGAGTCAAAATTCCCAGTGAAGACCAAAACTATTGCAGCTGACTTTAGCAAAGGTCGGCCTGTGTTTGACATCATTGAACAAGAACTGAAGGATATTCCAGTTGGAATTTTAGGTATAGTACTTATGACTGCTTTTGTGTAGGCACATAGCCACAAGCTGAAGTGATATTTACCCATCTCTAAATACAAAGGTTGATGACACTAATCTGGGATCGATTTTGATGTACATCAGTAATGTAAATTATAAGAACAACAAATGACAGGTGTCCCCTGATGGACAGAAGTCACTACTTTTGTACAAGTTATGAATAAGACACCTTTGTGTAAATGCATTCATAAAAAATCATAGCACTGTGAAATGTTTGGCATTATGGAGCAACACAGATGTATCAGTTTCTGAGTAAAAGCTGGAAAAGCGGCAACAAAAATCTATAACAATTTTATATCTGCATATGGAGAAGAAACTTTCACCTGTACTAGAACATTTTAATGGTTTGTTCAATTTAAACAAGGTCACAATTTTCACCAGTGGTTCATTCCCTGGCATCTGTCATCATGCATACATGAAACAATCATTTGTGTTTGTGGTGACAGGCAGAGAGTCAATCAGTTGTTTTATATGGCTATTCTGAAACTTCTAACAAAATTTGATGGGAATGGACACAAATAATTGAAGTCACATTTGTAAAGTTATATCAAAACAATATATCTGCTCACTCGACGCTCATTATAATGTAATTCATGATAAAGTCCAGTACTTCACTACCCACTTATCTATGCATACATGCATATGTGTGTGTGTGTGTGTGTGTGTGTGTACATGTGTTTGCATGTGAAGCATGTATGTCTGTATATACATTTATTTACATTTTATCAAATTCTCTTGTATAAATTGCCATCAATCCATGTATACTTGTACATGGTGAGTCTTATTTACATATCTTAAATATAAGCATCATGTTCTGCAATTATATGCAAGCAGAACTGCTCATATTAATAGTCGCAATCGCTTGAATAGCGAGATATGGCAACTACAAGGCAGCACCACAAAATGGTTAAAGCAATCATTCAGTATACAAGCTCCTACTAGGTCAGTGCTCTTGATATCGTGTTCACGTTATGCATCATAGAAGAATGGCGTAGAATGTGGAGTATCAATTTGACAATTTGACGAACTGACAGATACAGAAAAGTAGAGTTAGCGCAGTCGCTGGATGTCTGCGCACTGAAAAGTATCCACAAAGCTGACATCCAAATTTCTCTGGAATGTTGTGTGTGGGAAACAGGCTGTGTGCTATCCAATATGACAAAAGCTGGTAGACCTCGAAGTTGCAAGAGCGCTGATGTGAAAGACGTTCTGTGTGCTGTAGAACAATGCCCTGGTACTAGTAGCAAGCGATTGGCCTGTCGTCACATTTCACAGAGGACAGTGGTGAGGGTGCTACATGGTCAGCTTGTTCCAGTATATTGTGGCGTATTGGCTCTATGCAGGAACTGTTAAGCTACAGAGGCCTCGAGGCATGTGCGCAACATGAGAGATGCAGATTGTATTGGCGCGTTGCTAGGTGACAACTCTGTGAACTCTTGGATTATGCAACAGGAAGTGCGAGTGACGTCACACACCCCACTCATCCCATAACTACACAACACTTTGTTAACACCCCTCCCCGCTAGGCTGTGATGTCACGCAACAGGGGAGTCTATACAGAGACTATTGCTAGGCAATCAGTAAACACGTCACGCAACAGTGGTAGCTATCACGTAACTGTTTTCTGTGTTGTCAGTGTGGAAGCTACATAACAGGAGTATTCGCCAGTATTGGAAGACATTGGAATATGCGAGATGAAAGCTTTGGCTAAGGCAGTAGTNTATGTCTATATATACATTTATTCACATTTTATCAAATTCTCTTGTATAAATTGCCGTCAATCCATGTATACTTGTACATGGTGAGTCTTATTTACATATCTTAAATATAAGCATCATGTTCTGCAATTATATGCAAGCAGAACTGCTCATATTAATAGTCGCAATCGCTTGAATAGCGAGATATGGCAACTACAAGGCAGCACCACAAAATGGTTAAAGCAATCATTCAGTATACAAGCTCCTACTAGGTCAGTGCTCTTGATATCCTGTTCACGTTATGCATCATAGAAGAATGGCGTAGAATGTGGAGTATCAATTTGACAATTTGACGAACTGACAGATACAGAAAAGTAGAGTTAGCGCAGTCGCTGGATGTCTGCGCACTGAAAAGTATCCACAAAGCTGACATCCAAATTTCTCTGGAATGTTGTGTGTGGGAAACAGGCTGTGTGCTATCCAATATGACAAAAGCTGGTAGACCTCGAAGATGCAGGAGCACTGATGTGAAAGATGTCCTGTGTGCTGTAGAACAATGCCCTGGTACTAGTAGCAAGCGATTGGCCTGTCGTCACATTTCACAGAGGACAGTGGTGAGGGTGCTACATGGTCAGCTTGTTCCAGTATATTGTGGCGTATTGGCTCTATGCAGGAACTGTTAAGCTACAGAGGCCTCGAGGCATGTGCGCAACATGAGAGATGCAGATTGTATTGGCGCGTTGCTAGGTGACAACTCTGTGAACTCTTGGATTATGCAACAGGAAGTGCGAGTGACGTCACACACCCCACTCATCCCATAACTACACAACACTTTGTTAACACCCCTCCCCGCTAGGCTGTGATGTCACGCAACAGGGGAGTCTATACAGAGACTATTGCTAGGCAATCAGTAAACACGTCACGCAACAGTGGTAGCTATCACGTAACTGTTTTCTGTGTTGTCAGTGTGGAAGCTACATAACAGGAGTATTCGCCAGTATTGGAAGACATTGGAATATGCGAGATGAAAGCTTTGGCTAAGGCAGTAGTTGTGAAACTGTGAATTGTGTAAGCGTGAGAGCGAGCGTGCAATAAATTCGCTAGATCCAAAACGGTGTGAAGTTATTTGTCGTGTGTCACATACCCAACATGTGACATTATGTTCAAGGTCTGCAACTGCTGCTGGATTATAAATGTTGAAAAGAGTTCTGCAAATGGCTATTGCACCGGGATGTTGCTGATGGGTGAAGCATGCATCACACAGAATGGGTTTTGAATATTAGTAACTAGGACACATAGGCTGAAGAACATCCTTAGTCCCTTCAAGAAACACGATTCCAGCAGCAGTTTGCAATAAATATTTGGGTAAGAAAAATGATGTCTCCTCTTAGGTCANCTGGATGTCTGCACACTGAAAAGTATCCACAAAGCTGATATCCGAATTTCTCTGGAACGTTGTGTGTGAGAAACAGGCTGTGTGCTATCCAATATGACAAAAGCTGGTAGACCTCGAAGTTGCAAGAGCGCTGATGTGAAAGACGTTCTGTGTGCTGTAGAACAATGCCCTGGTACTAGTAGCAAGCGATTGGCCTGTCGTCACATTTCACAGAGGACAGTGGTGAGGGTGCTACATGGTCAGCTTGTTCCAGTATATTAATGTGGCGTATTGGCTCTATGCAGGAACTGTTGAGCCACAGAGGCCTCGAGGCATGTGTACAACATGAGAGATGAAGATTGTATCGGCGTGTTGCTAGGTGACAACTCTGTGAACTCTTGGATTGTGCAACAGGACGTGTGAGTGACATCACACACCCCACTCATCCCGTAACTACACAACGCTTGGTTAACAGACCTCCCCGCTAGGCTGTGATGTCACACAACAGGGGAGTCCATACAGAGACTATTGCTAGGCAATCAGTAAACACGTCACGCAACAGTGGTAGCTATCACGAAACTGTTTTCTGTGTTGTCAGTGTGGAAGCTACATAACTAGGAGTATTCGCCAGTGTTGGAAGACATTGGAATATGCGAGATGAAAGCTTTGGCTAAGGCAGTAGTTGTGAAATTGTGAATTGTGTAAGCGTGAGCGCGAGCATGCAATAAATTCGCTAGATCCAAAACGGTGTGAAGTTATTTGTCACGCGTCACATACCCAACACGTGACATTATGTTCAAGCTCTGCAACTACTGCTGGATTATAAATGTTGAAAAGAGTTCTGCAAATGGCTATTGCGGCGGGATGTTGCTGATGGGTGAAGCATGCATCACACAGAATGGATTTTGAATATTAGTAACTAGGACACATGGGCTGAAGAACATCCTTAGTCCCTTCAAGAAACACGATTCCAGCAGCAGTTTGCAATAAATATTTGGGTAAGAAAAATTATGTCTCCTCTTAGGTCATTAAAAGCTACTGCCTCGACTGTCAGAGGCTTCCTATTTACAGTATCTGCAAACAACTGAATGATTTCCCATCGGCATCGCCACAGGCAATGTGAATACTATAAAGTGGAACTCCTTCCCAGTCTTCATCTGGTGTCGTGTGGTTTTGAGATAGTCAGTACCCAGGTTGATGGATAGGACAGTATGGATCAGTTGTGTGGGCTCCGTGACCATCTGATCACGCACCTGCTGACTTATAAACATGAGGCCATGTGCAGGGCATCGTTTAGGTCCGACAGTGATACACGTGGGAAAGCTGGGGAATGCCACTTCAGCGGTTGGGATGACAGCACACAACATACCTGACATCTTTCAATGGACCTGGAATTTCTGGCGCAACAGGGTTTAGTTAGTGTAAACCATTAGTAAGTGGCCTGATGACATTCTGTTCACAGCTAATAAACTCTTTACACAAACGAACATATTTGTCTGCTTCACTTTCCTTGTGTTTCCTGTTGCCATATCATGCTAATGAAACATTCATGACCTTATATTTATGTGACAGTTTCTGCATGCATGTAAGTGTAGATCACAATATTTCTATTTAAGGTGTATGTATAGTTCACAGATATCAATCATGCATTTGCATTGTAGAAGATAAAGGTATAATGTAAACTTGAGGAATTCTATATGTGAAGCTGTAAGTTTTACACAGTTAGTTTACAGAGAATTTAGGCTACTTTATATGAAATTTTATGAATGATTATGTATCAATTCACATTAAAAACTGTAAAAAAAGGTTAAGCTATCCCTGTAACAGGCCGTGAAGGCCCATAGGTTGTGAGATGTCAAGGCTCCCACATTTTCTCTAGACAGTTGGCCCACAGATGGTGGTAAGGTTGTCAGTCTTACGCGCTGGCTGCCCTCTACCCCCAGGAAGATTCCTGGTACTCATTTCTGTTAGAGGCTGATTGACCCGAGGGCCATAGTGTGACTGGAAGAATTAGGTAAACTGAAAAAAATATCCACCACATCAGGACTCAAACCTGGGACCTTCTGGCTTGTAGCATAATGCCTCAACCAACTACTAAAACCTGCAATTACTGAAAACAATTCTTCATGTAAAACTACACAAAGGAGTTCATAATATCAATTGAATTCACATTTCTTTCTTAATTTGGACATAAAGGTGTCAATTATCATAATTTCCTGTAACCATAATATGAGAAATGGCTTCATCTTACGTGCCTCATATCCTCAGTTGTTGATAATGGAAGGATCTGTAATAAATTTATTGGTCCACAGAATATTTGTACTGGATGTTTGATAGGAATTCATCCACTTTAAAATTGTTTATCATCATAATCAGGTAATTAAATCAACATCCCAGCACATAAATTGTAAATGAGAGTTCCTTTTTTTCAGTTTCATCACCACAATAAGAAATATGGATACACCTTAACACCTTAAATTTGTCATTTATTACATGATGTTTCTGCTCATTGAGCCTTCATCAGGTACTCGACTTGTTTACATTTGTATTTCCTGCTGTGGTGATAGAATAAAATAAAGGAATTTCACATATGCAAAATGATGCTGAATATAATATTTCTAGCTGTAAATGAGAGGTTCTTCTTACAGTGAACAATGTAGGAAGGCAATACACATATCCTATGTATCTTGGTGAAGTTCCTGAACATGAGCTGTGGGACATACTGAATATCAACATTGGAGCTACCACAATGATGACACGTCTCATTCTGCCACAAATGCAGAAACAGAAACGAGGTGCCATAGTGAATGTGTCATCAGGCTCAGAGCTACAGCCATTACCTCTTATGACAGTCTATGCTGCTTCCAAGGTACATTATATTCAAAGATTATTTAAATTTGTACAGTGAATGCTGACTTTCAAATATATTTTGACTTCTTTAATTATTGAAGACTATATCATTGTTAAAGAAACATGGTAGTCTGATTACTATCTGGACACAATATTAGTGAACCCACACACTCTACCTTCCTGCTCATCTGCATATTCTGTTAACTACAATACATATTTGTTTTCAAAATTTACATGGTTGTCTCTCTGTGCTACTGGATTCGACATCCCATGCAGGTTTAGAGGCATACCAGCAATGACTGTGTATGTCTGGATAGAAATCAGAAAGCATAATCTTTCATTAAACCCAATATAAATTTAATTAGAAGCAGACATTTGTCAGAGTGTAAAGTGGTCTAATGTTTGGTACAAAGTGCAATATAATGACAATAATTATTGAGTTAAATTCTTAATAAAACGATCTCTCTATAGGCCAGTAAAAGTCACAAAACAACAACTCACAAGCAAGTTGAAATCCCAAATAGGTTAAGAACTTTGGAAAACTTAAATGAATATATGGATATTAAGAGGGCTTGGGAAACTATTAAAGAAGTTATCAAAATTTCAGTCAAAGCAAATCCAGGATATTACAAACTGAAGCAGCATAAGCCATACTTTAACAAAGATGTTCAAACTATTAGATCAAAGAAAACAAGCCAAATTACAATGGTTACAGTATCAAAGCCAAATAAATGGGCATAATCTGAACAATGTAAGATATGAAGCTAGAAGACATTTCAGGAACAAAAAGAGAGAATATCGGAATTACAAAATTAATAAGCATGAAATATACAGTAAGAAGTTAGAGTCGATTAGTTAGCTAAATGAACAGAAGAGTTTGACAGCTGACATATCAGCCATATATATGCCATCTAAGCTGTAGAATTAGTATGAGAAATCTTGGTCTTCATACATGAAAGCACATCCAACTGACCCTCACACAGACAGCTCATCAGGATAAACCATCATCTATGATAAGTGGCAGTGACCTCATAAAACAGCTGACAATATGGAAGGGCAGATATTTTGTCTGTCATGTGTTTAATGAGTTAAGAGTCACAGGCTGGACATACGACAGACTAAGATGGGTTATGAGAGGGTATACTGGGAATAATATATGGCAAGCAGATGTAGAGATGCTTCAGAAGGTGGTGAAAGCATATGAATGCACCATACATCAAGGTGCCCTGGCTTTCAATAATACTATATGATTCTGCAGCACTTCTCACTGCCCCTGTGCAACTTCATCAATGTACTAAAATTCACACTTCAAAAGTATTCATCTCTTCCTATTATCTGAATGCTACATGTTAGGGCCCTTCAGGCCATCATCAGGTGTACAAGTTGTAGAGGAAATTGCTGCCCTGTTGTCATGCTGCTACTACACTTTACATTTTAAAAGTGTAAAATACTTATAAAGTATTTTTATATAATATATATTTTTAAATATCATGCTATGGTTACTTTATTATTGTATATGCATGTGTTGTGGGTCTGGTGTATCTGTAATATGTAGTATTGGGTTAATTAGTGAATATTTTAAGTTATGTATTGCTGTTCTATCACTGTAGTTGTAATATTACTTAACTTTGTTGTATGTTGGTTTTTCTTTGGTGCTGTGTGTAGCTGTTTTGAACATTTCAAAACCCCTGTCTAGTCACTAACATGTAACAATATATTTTCAAAACATAGCCTCCCAATCACTATGTTGGTATATCTGAAGGAGTTGTTAAGCCTTATAATGTGGACTACATACACATATGCATATATTCAAATATGTACACTTAACTTATTCACTCCTTCCATCTGTTTTCTTGAATCTCAGATTACCAAAATGAAATGTGAATGAAATATTCTAAGCAGTGTTCTGATAAGCCTAAGGATAGACATGAACATCAGAAGATCATTTGCTCATGAATTCTCAGAGAAAAGGTTTACAGGCAAGAAGTTATTTTGTGGCTCAGCTGTTACATTGCACCACAAAGTAACATCTTGTTGAACAGTTAATTATTTAATTTACTTGATTATAGGTGTTTGTCAAAAGCTTCTCCGATGCACTTAGGTATGAATATCAGCGAGATGGTATCATTATTCAGCATCTATCACCTCTGTTTGTAAACACAAAAATGAATGCATTCAGTCATCGTCTGCAACAGACAAGCCTGTTTGTGCCAGATGCAACTACATATGCAAGAAATGCTATCAACACCTTGGGAAAAGCAAATACAACAACAGGATACTGGGCCCATGGTCTGCAGGTAAGAGCAAGAGCAATGATAGTTAATAAATTCTATTGCCATGGATGATAAAAATGAGAACAGTGTACAAATATTCATATAAAACAAAAAAGCTAAATTTTAACTCTTGCAATTTAATATTGTTTAGTACAGTCTGTTAGCCTGCTTTTCTATAAAGCAGGCCCAAGATACCACCATGTTCTTATATTTGTGTATATGTCCTCCTGAAATAATTTTTGAAAATCTTTTAACATGCTAACAAATTTATTTAAAGGGAATAACAGTTCTCAAATAATTGCTAATCTATGTTCAATTACCTACTTTTCACATTTAAAGTATGAAAAATTTTGCCTGATGATGGCATAATGCCAAAATATGTAGCATTAAGGTAGTTAATGTGTATATATTCTATACAAAGATTTTAACTTTTTCATCAAACTTGGCATGAACACCATGCCATAAGAGGCTGCCTCAAGTTTATACTTTTTAATTTTTCATCATCAATTGTACCTAAAACAATTATACATATTTCTGTTACAGTATTTCCTGACTATGATCCCTCCTGTCTGGATTAGGACTTACATAGGAGGGTTGATGAATGAAATCTTCCGCAGAGATTATTTTAAGACCATGCCGAAGGAATAGTGAATATGACTTAAATATATAAAACCATTTATAAAAAAGTAGAAATGGGTCCCTTCAATCAGTGCTTTTTAAACCCACGTAAGTACTGTTATGTACATATAGACTTATGTACTGGGACAATCATTAACACACAGGGAGATTAGTGTGTCCTGAATGTCACCCCATGTAGAGTGGCAGAGACGTACCAATGATTCGGAGGAACTTCTTGCCTCAACGGAAAACCACACTGTGCCAAATACCACAAACAGCAGTCTTCACAGTGACCAGCATAAAAATGTCAAATGTCAACATGTAGGGAGCTTCCATCATAATATAATGTAACATAGAGGCTTTTAATATGACAGGAAGTTGTATCAATGGTAGTAGTTTGCTTCCTAATGGTGACAGGCAAATGAAATATCTGAAACTTGCCTGTACATAATAAATTTCATAACTTCCCAGACTTCTAGATAATTTTTCTATATGTTCACAAAACTGGTATAAATTTGTATGTAACAGCCAGGAAATAGATTCTTTATAATACATGTTTACTGAAAGTTTCTATTGACATTAAAATAAGTACATGACCATCTTTAAATAAATGTGTCCATATACTTGTATAAAAGCATGTACATACAAATAAAAACATCTAAACATGATTTATATATGATAACATAAGACTTTATATATGAACAAATATTTTGATGTTGAATTTGAAGTTCCTTATTCAAAACCTAGCCATAACCATCCATTCTGGTGCAAATTTTCCAAAACCTTTCTCTCTCATCCCACTGGATTCAAAATCCATATTCATCCTCACCCTAACATCAGCAATTGACTCACTATCCTAAAATAATTCATGGCTGATTCCATATTCTAGCTCACCCAACTCATGACACAAAATTCTTTCACTCCATAGTCACCAATGTGTAATATTAGAAGCATCACTAAATGACACAGGAAGTAAACTACAAAGCAGTTGAATCAACATGACATATACAGTGCACCAGAAATCCAGGTAGGGATACTAATTCTGAACATGGAACTGAGGAAAATCTTAAATGGAGGAAATGTAACATGAGGTTTCTAACTCGACACAACTGAAATTAAATGTCAGAGGAGAGAAACCCTTAAATTGAGGAACATCAAATGGAGGTTCCACTGCACATAATTATTAAGTAGTTAAATAGATAAGAATAGCAATTTTTGTAGCAAGTGACCAAAGAGTGAATTTAGTATATTTCAAATGCCAGGCAGGTAAGTTCTAGAACACAGACTGAATACCAGAATCAAATATCATTACTTTCTGCATACACAAAACAGAAAACAACAATGCATTATGCAAGTGGGGTAATAAGCCTACAACAGAAGAGACTTATATAAAAGAAATCAATGTACACACCAACATCAACAAAGCACACAAAACATACCTACACCACCACACCACCAAAGATCACGATAATAAATCCCATAAGGAGATTGAAGCGGTTTTACTAAATTTAATTAGGCGGCCTAGTTCAATTGAATTTTAATCACAATTTTTGTTTTAAAATTGAGACAAGCAGTGTAGTGAATAGTTTAGCATAACGAGGACACCTGATGATGGCCGTATACGGCCAAAACATGATCTGAATAAAGATTAAATTGACTGTAAGAATCTTGTGTTGCATTGTGATGGAAATATATACCGACGAAACAACATATTAATGCAACAGGATGCTGAAATACAATAAAACTATCTCACAAACTGTGTAACATATTTTCCCTGAGCAGTTGAAATTATCCATTACTTTCTCCTATTGAATCCCACTATTCATCTCCATCATTTCCATGAAGCAAGATTATCAATGAACACCATCTTGAACTAATAAAATCCAATTCACCTCCTTACATCTTCATTCTGTAAGATCCATTTTGATCTTGTTTTAGCCCCTTGACACGCATAAAGTTCAACTGTTACTTTCTAAGCAAGAAGAGTTGGGCACTGCCTTTGCTACCAATGCTCAGCAGTTTTGCTATAAAAAAAATATGTTCAAGTATACTCCTCACTGCAACATTATCTGCAATAGCAACCATTCAATCTAATGCTGCATGGCAATCAACATGCAGCTAGTCTGACCACCATTAATATAGTCATATAATACAAATTTGTTGCAGAGATTTCTGAGTATAGCTGTATATCTGCCAATTGTCAGTATGAAATTAACACATTCATCTCCAGAAAGACTTTTATTGACATGAAGAGCCAACTTTACAGTTCTGTATAGTTAATTCTTGTTTTAACAAATAATGACTCAGTCCAAAATTCAATAAGTAACTGGAATTCACAGCTAGTTACAAATGTTATATTTTAGCGTCCTGTTGCACTGATTTAAGTCCATGATTTATTTCAACCATCTTCCAGTGCATACACTCATCTATCTCACTCCTCTCTCTCGCACTACATGTTTTGGCACAAAAGTGCCATCTTCAGGTGCTTATTATGTAGTGCGAGAGAGAGGAGTGAGATAGATGAGTGTATGCACTGGAAGACAGTTGAAATAAATCATAGTTACAAATACTCAAAAGTTTAAAAGTTCCAAAGTGCTAACTGCCCTTTAATTATAAACAGCAATCATTGCTTTTACTCCAAATTGTGAATGCAGTTTGGTTGCTGTAGAACTGATACCCACCAGATATTAACATCAAGATATTTAAAAAGGAGAAAAAATCTCATTGCTGTTATTCGACACCTTGCATCATAAACGAAAAGCATTTGATTATGTAGATACTGCATTTTGTTTGCACTGATATCCTGCATCCTTGTGTTTTTAAAGGGCATACTGTGATCAGCAACAAAACAGTGTTTATCATGATACTAACATTCACATAAAAATTAACCATATAATACTGTGCTCTTTTGCTTTCCAACCCATCTCTTGAACAATGAGTACACACTGGCTGTGTTTTTTATTGTATTGTATTGTATTGTATTGTATTTATGACACATTCCAGCACATCCATACAAGGCTGAAGCCATTGGATACAGAATCTGTCAAACCACAAGCTTGCTAAATCAGCAAGCAGTCAACAGAACAATGCATATAAATCCACAACAATAAATCGAGCATATGAAACCCCTACACAGAGTAAAAGTAAAATACTCAGTAAGGATTGTTGGTTAAGACATGCATGTTTCAGATGTGGCTCTCATATTAAAATGGACCCAATATTCTATGAAACTTGTAAAAAGTGTTTTCCAATAAGTGATAGCATATAATCCTTCAAACTTCAAAACTGGGCATTTAGGCACTTCCAAAAATTATACTACTACAAATGGCACTTCTATGCATTGTAAGCAACACACTGTTACAAATCTGTTACAAATTCCTGTCCCTGAAACGGTACCCTATTACTAGCTAGGATTTGGGGAACTCCAGCCAGGTCTAAATATGTTAATAATGATCAGGAAGCTGGAACAGCATTTGCTACAAATAATACTGCACTGACTGACTAAGACACTGATGGATTAGATAGAAAGTATATGATTTCTGAAAATGTTTCCCTCTGCAGCCTTCTCTATACATATTCTCATCTGGAATGAGCATAATCTGAGCATTGTGACCTACATCTATTAAGACCAGAAAAAGGAAAACAATTTTATATTTTGTCCAACATATATTAATAATACAGTTCGCATTACAAATCAGCCATGACATCATTACATATACCAAGGCATTATCCCTATGTCACTAAGTCATTATTTATTTAAATGGCATGCTGGATTATGGACATGAATCTGCCCCTCACCAGAATACATTTCAGCATCTATAGTTTCATCTATATACAACAAAGTTCTTTATTAAAAGGTTTCTGTAAACACAGGAACCAACTGGTTCAAATATGTAATTACAGTAATCTGTAATAACTACTGTTAGTTCCTCGGAACTCTAGCCACAGTAGAGGGGTCATACCATCGCTTGCAGGGCTGGGGGAGCAGTCTTATCAGCTTATGTCAGCGTGGGTACTACCAGTTTGGAATGTAGAGTCTTGGAGTGTGGTAAGGTGTATAGTACATTGTGTTGCTTGTTAGTTGGTACCAGTCATAGCGACTGTGTTACACGGTGTTCATGTCACTATCATGGCACACGGACAATTGCATGGAATAGTTCACAGTGAGGCCAGGGAAGTAATTGCTAATGTTTTCCACTTGGGAGTAGCTCTGAACATCACTACAGCAAGCATACAGCTTCATATGCTCCACAACAGTGGCTAAAGTTATGAGGCACTAACTATAGCATATCTGATGAGAAATTTGGGTGCAGGAAGTCTATTCATACCAGCCATCAAGTCCTTAAAATGTCTGAACAGTGCCAACCTAAAATTATACACGTGTAAGAATACATACCACAATAAATTTTTCAGGAATTCCTTCCCACCTTCAATGCTATGCAGGCTTCAATAAATTATATTTCAGGTACATGTTATAATGCTGCTATTTACCAACACAGGATTATCTTAGGTGTTCATGTTACAACAAAACAAACAGGAGCTTAATCCTCTGATTGCCAACCCCTGACACAGAACTACCTGGTAGAAACGCCATAGGTACTTGGGGAGGTTATGCAGCTGCCCTAGAAAACCCACACCACTTCTTCAAATGACCACAGGCATTGCTAATGTGAAAGCATGTTCTTTCCTCATAAACATCAATGTGTTATGCTTGATGCCATCTATTGACAGAACTGCTGTATTAATTGATCTATGCTAAACTGTCTGGCTGTGGCAGATATATCACCAGTATCCAAAGCTGACCTACTTGGCTCATGGTGTGCAAAGATTAATATCACTGATGGAACAACAAAACACAAATATTATTCAGACATTAAGGAAGAGCTATTGATATGAAATGGGTAATAATTTACCAGCCCCTCCATCCATATCAAATGAAGAAAAGTAACAGCTGTAGAAAATGGGGGGATATAATTCATCTAATAGGACATAAAGAACAGTCTACTGAATTTGGAAAACTTCTTTGGTACAGTAATGAATGAAATTGGTATTCCTGTATCCGGTAATGAAAGTACTACTAAAATTAACAGCAGATAAAAGTCCAGGCTATTGTAATTCCACTTTCACACAGAAATGATCAATGTCAGTGAAGAGAAAGGATTATCTTTTGTCTGACTACTGCCTAACATATAAATATAAGCTTCAAGACAGCAGTTCGAGTACTGAAAAACGATCAAGTGGTTCCGCAAACTCGTTTCTTCAACGTAAAGCTCTGATCTGAAACATAATGGTTGCCTTCTTTGGTGTGATAATCAGAGAACTTACCACAAATCATTTGAACAGTCCAGTGGAAGGAATGCCCTCCATGTGCCAACGTCATTGTGCACATTCAGGCCTGCAGTGCAATCTACATATCAACAAATCCAAATAAAACTCACACAGATCACAGCAGGTGTCAGAAATTCTCCATATTCTTATGAAAGCACTTCTGGTGTCTCTATAAAATATTCACATTCACATGCTGAAGGTTTTTTTTTTCAGAACAGAGCAAACTAGGAACCTGAAATCTCAGCAGATATGCTTGCCAAAATCATCTCCTTGCTTTTCAATAGGTATCACACATGAACACACATTTCAATGTGTAACTTTCATGAAGATTTCTGAAACAAGAAGTAATGCAACTGATTGCCTAATACAGAAGTAGGGTTTCAGGATTACAGTCAACAAGTACTTAGCACATAACGTTGCCTTATGTAGCTGTTCCATAGCCGAGTTCATACTGAAGAGAAATTGAGAAGTTATAATATGCATATGCTCCTGACCTGCTGACAACATCAAGAGTCTGAATTTGCTTGGTGAGATTATTGAAGTGTGTCCTCCTGCCAGACCAGCCACGACTAATGGTACTAAGCTCTCAAATAATAACCATGCATCACCACTATTCAACAACATTCAGATATGAAGTTAAAGTCCCTGAACTACCAAAATCAGTCTGGCATTTTAGAGTTTTGATAGTAAACTTTTCCCTCGTTGGTGTCTCCGCCTTATCTTGGTGAGGGGGTTTGAGTATGCTAAGGACCCTGGGAGCTATACCAGCGGCAGCGTAGCTACTGGCAGGGCCTCCCTTGCTGGACAGGTCAAAGGGTAGGCATCAGACGAAGAGAAACACCAAAAACTGATGCCGGAAGCAGCGTCATCAGTAGCGACTTGAAGCACAGAACAAATGATGCTCGAGATGGTTCAAGTTCGTATAGCAACAGGTGTGACCAGAGTGGTTTGAACGGCTGCTGTACTGCGATGTGGAAAGCAAATGGAAAAACTACCACATTATCATTTTTCCTGGATAGTCTTTCCAAAAACATAAGATCGCATTAAGTGGAGGAACTGTTTTGGAAGAGACTGTGGACCTGTCGTCTGACAGATTACTGATGAATGAATGAAGTAAACTTAAGCAGTAACAGTGACAGCAAATTGGCATTTCAGAGTAGTTCCAACGTTCATTTGATACCTACCATCAAGTTCAATGTTGAAAGAAGTGAAAACCCAAAAATCTTCTAAAACTTTACCCATGTTGCAAATCTGCAGACATGCACTTCACAATTATGTTAGGTTTGCTGAAATGCAATCCGATACGTAAGAGATCTCTGCAGAGGCAGGTGAAGAGACATGAACAAGGACTAATATTACAAATTAAAAATGTTTTTGTAACAGCTTAGGCAGTTAGACAAAGCCATCTTACCAAAGAGGTTCAGGTTTCATCCCAGTGAAGTCCATGTCAGAATTATGGTGGTCATTGTAGCAGGTCTTTCTCAAAGCACTTAAGTTTACCCTTGTCACTTTATCATTTAAAATATATTATACATAAATTTATCTTTATCACCAGGGTTGGTTCAACAGCCATACTAAATGGCAACGTGCAAACGGACTGCCTCATCCCACTCACTCACGCACACATGCTTACATACATTAGTGTCTAGAGTCACATCTTCGCTAGCCAATGCTAGGTAGCGCCTTCCAACGGCAGACATTTCCTTGCCTCTGGGATTCCACACTATCTTAACCTTGGCTACCAGCTTCTCACAGCAACAGCTCACAATGACTCAAGCTCAGCAGTTCCCTAACACACTGACTAACTCAGTCAATCATCAACCAATCAACTCAACTCCCCTAACTCACTATCGTGCATATAATATCTCAGCACGGACCACACAGAAAACACCATTCTTCTGATGCTGTTTACAAGCTGTTGCCTAATAATGGTAGTTGTCTAGCCGCTTGTTTCATGTTCATTGCCTAACAATGGGTCTACTTGCCACACTGCTCCTTCCTCAAGGCTATCCGTCAAAATTACCTACACGTGTACCACCATTTATTCATTTCTGAGGGCTGTGCTTGTGACGTCTATTATCGGCCTAACCTTCCTTCCCTGCACCTGAGTTTTCATGGTGATTATTCCCCCAGCTGCTCCCTCCTTAAGGCCACTTGCCCCAAGTGGTTCCCTCATTCAGGTGCAAGCTGGTCCAGGTGTACCACCATCATCCTCCTTTTCCAAGGGCTGGGCTTTGGATGCACTGGCCACCCTTTACCCCTAGGAATATTCCTGGTATTCATTTTTTATAGAGGCTGAGTCAACCCCAGGTTCACAGTGTGACCGGAAGGATTAGGTCAATTGACAAATCCAATGACCTCATCAGGAATTTAGCTCATGAACTTTTAGGTTGTAGCATAGTGCCTCAAGCAACTATGCTACTGTGTGCCCCCTCCATCAATCATATATGAGACATTAGTTGCAATGCCTCTGCACAGACATTTTCTGTTCAGTTACGTTTCCTTTTTAATGTTTCATAAGTTGGATTCATCTTGAAACATACATCTATTTGTATATATTGTTTTTGTAGTTTCTAAATAATTTTATTTGCGACGAGCTGATCACTCACCCAAGGAGTCCTACAATATTAAGATCTAGAAAAACCGAAGTGAACGGAGTTCATGGAGGTAGGCCTAGGCCCACTGGGGCTGTAGTGCCAAGGGGGAGGGGGAAAATATATATATATATATATATATATGTAACTTCCACTATGTTAAATTGTATTACTTCTAATTTTGGAAGCAAGATCTCTTATTTGATGGCATATGATGACAGCATCTTCCAAAATTGCTAGTCAGAATCCATAGTTGATTACAATACATTTCACAATCAATTCTAAATTAAACAACTTGCCACTTATGGGAACGCCACTTTATGTCTCCTCTAAAAATTTCCTGGACATGATTCACATGCTCATTTGGCATATATTTTATACATTCTTAACATATTATCACTTGGTAATTAAGGAATCTCTATCACTACTGCGAGTATCGTGCTGATAAGTAAGATTTCAGAAATGATGCTGATGCTTGGAACAATTATGATAGACAGCTTCTTCCTGTACAGTTTAGTTTGTGTTGCAAAGATCCACTGAGGAACCATTTTAACATTTGGAAAATCAGTTTGAAAAATCAAGTTATGAAATATTTATTGGTTGTTCATGATACCACAGTCATTAAAGAAGACATCAAATTAGATTTTCAGGTAGAGGCAAAACTAAAACACGTATTTCAATATGGAACTAGAGTCATAATAGATGTGTAAATGATAAAGAGAGGCAGAATTACTCTTACAGTCACAGTGAAGAGAAATCAACAACAGTTGGCATTACACACCAACCAGGCAAATTTTTGTTCTCCTGTAAACTACTGTGTTGATGGGACAGTTACAGAACTCACATGCATGACTGTCATCTTGAGTTCTATACAATTGATGTTATCAAATATCTCACAAATAAACTGCATCTTTATCCAGTTCTGTGCCCTTGATTTAAATGAGAACCATGCAATTAGCATTCAGCCAGTATACACATATATACTGCCCATTTATTCAGCTAAATATATGGTAAATGCTCACTACACTCTTCCATTACATTCCATTTAATTTTATGGGTATATATATATATTTCATTTTGTAATGTAACTGTGCAACTGTACTTGCTAGCATTCTGCAGCACATAACATTCAAATTAAACACACACACACAAACACATATAACAAATATGAACAAAATTAAAGAGATCAAAACGTTTATGTTCCAGGAATTGTATATTTCTTTAAAAAATCTAGAGATTTACTGCCAGAGCTAATCTTTCAAACAAAGGAAAAGTACAATATGTACAAAAATTTAATATACACACATAAAAGTAAATCCAGACCTCTCATGGTTCCTTCCATTGATCATTTTATATTCTCATTTTAAACCACATGGAAATTAACATACTTTATCTACATACCACTGAGGCAACTGTATGACAATACCGCATTATTTTCCAAAGATTTTAATGATGGTTATTATCTTTACAATAATGTCACTACTCTGCCATTAATCTTTGTTACCTTACATCTGCCATAATGTCGAAAATGTACATAGCAATGACCAAAATTCATAAAATTTATATTAAAGAAGTGACATTCTAAGAGGTTAATTAAAACAAGAACAATGTTTGGTCAAATAAAAATGTGTTCCCACTTTAGGTTTTTTGACTGGCATTTTTCTACTTAGTTTAATTTAACTAACAATCAACGCTGGTTTACGTTACTTTCAACATTTCACTTTTCTCTTCAGATCGCGAAGTTAGAAATCGGTGGAACTAATTTTATTTGTACAACAGGTATTTCTATTAACAATCTCTATCACAGTGAACAGTCCAACATTGAGGAAAGAAGAGGAACATCATCATCGTGGGTGGGCCAATACATAACCTCCCCCACCACTCACTTGTGTTTGATTTTCTTGTTGCCATGACTCCCGATCTGAATCCTGGTGACTCTCCTCCTGCTGTGTTACTAGGTCTTGTACTCTCTCCTGTTTATCATTTTGCTTCTGTTTATTTTTCTCATACTTTGCTTTTCCTCTCACCTTCTCCTTTGACAGCAACAGAGGTTGGTTTTGTGATGTCCCATACACTGGATATGCAAGAGTTGTGCTAAGCAAGTCATTATACTCTTCCAGTGAATTCTGAGCATAATGAACCACCAAAGACTTGAGTGACTCAAATATGATGTAAGACTCAACAAATCCAAAACCGTGCACCGTCTCAAAAATTATGCAGTGGTTCACAACACCGTTACAACTGGAATCACATAAAAAGCCAATATTAAATGAGGTTTAAGACAGACTGACATTAGACAAAAAAAATATTATTGGTGAGTACACACATGTGAAGAATGCAACAGTGCTCCTATACTTATGTAAATACAGTTAAGACCTCACTAATTTGGACTAATTGGGCGTGAACCCTTGTCAAAATTAGCAAAAGTCCAAACTAAAAAGTGCTACTAAAACTATGTTCAGGGTAGTTATAAATAGACTCCATATGTCTTTTTAGGCATTAAACCTTTGTTTTGAAGGTTAGATTGCATATCATAAAATAAATTTACTTTTCATAAAATTTAAAAATGTAAGTTTCGACTTCAGTCTTAAAAACATTTTAGGTAGCCTACATATTTAGTATTATTGAGACTGTGTTTAAAAAATTAACTTATTTTGGTCTATGGGCAAAGCTCAAGCAGTTAGTCACTGGCTTCCCACTGTGGCAGCCCGGGTTCAATCCCAGGTCTGGTCAAGTGGGATTTGTGGTGGACAAAGTGGCGCTGGGGCAGGTTTTCTCCGAGTGCTTCGGTTTCCTCTGCCAATCTTCATTCCACCAATTGCTCCACAATCACCCTCACCTATCGTCTGGGGCTGGTACAATAGGCCAGAAGTGGCCACAGTACAAGGGACTTAGTCCCACCCCACCAGCAATAAAAAAAATAAATAAATATTTTGGTCTGTGTTCCTCTTTTGTACCCCTCTTTTACTACAGCTTCCTGATCACAGCAATGTTATCATCAAGGCTGTGATGTGCAAAAAAAAAAACAGTTGTCTGACTTATTGTGAATTCCGAATTACTGAGGTTTCACTGTATTTGTGTATTTTCTATTCCATTCTGGTCTAAATTTGGAAACTGTGTTACAAATTCAAGAAATTGTCTGAAGTTTTCATGTCAGTAAAAACATGTAGTGGACAGTGACAGCTTGAGAACTGAGGCAGCAGGTTTGTATGAATTCTTAACTCTAACATACTGGTCTCCTAACTTCCTGTTCTTGCTGTCAGCATGATTACACTACAATTTATAATACTCTAGGGTGGCGATCATTAGAGAGTAAATTGTATTTACTACATTTATTATTTGCAATTATATTTAATTTTAATGGCAAGTATTTTAAAATATATTTAGCAAATTATATAGTTTCCTTTAGTACTGAAAGCTGGGATAACTCAGTTCCTGTAGCACTGGGCTATGGCCAGGACAACTAGGGTCCAATCTCCTGCAAGGACAAGACTTTTCTCCTCTCCATCACGTCCAGACCAGCCCTATGGCCCTATCTAATGGGTTTCAGGTGCTGTTTCCCCAGGGTAAAGCGGCAAGGGTGAGAAGCTGACCACTCACCTCCATCTAGTACCAAGGACAAGAATGGTGTAGCCATACCACCACTCCCCCATGCATCCTCATGGTATAGTGGTTATTTAATTAAGCACAAGAACAATATTTTTAATTTTTTTCTTTAGCACTAGCTGCCCCTGAATACAGTCAACTCTCGATTATCCGGGCTAATGGTGGGGATGGAAGTCACGGTTAATCGAAAACCCGGTTAAGCCAAATTTTATTATACGGGCTGGACGACTGTGAAGGGTCGGAGTTCGAGTCCCGGTAGGGTCAAGAATTTTAACTTCTCCAAATCGTCCAGACCGGCTCTGGGGTCCATCCAACCTCCTATCCAATGGGTACCGGGGGCTCTTTCCCCGGGGGTAAAGCGGCCGGGGCGTGAAGCTGACCACTCACCTCCAACTAGTGCCGAGGTCAAGAAAATTTGGATCTATACATCCACTCCCCCACACGCCTTAATGGCGTAGGGCTTAATTCGTTGAGCAGAGGAACAACTTTACCTTTTACCTTTTAATACCTTCATAATACTATAGACCTACCTGTATTTAAATTTATTCATCCTCATTTCTATGTCATCTCATGGCCTATTTAATACTTTCTTTACATTACACTCAGTATGAATTAGTTATTTCAATCACTGTTCAACAACATCCAGCACTTTTTACGGTCACACTTAACACTTAAAATAATTTAATACTGTCTTTTGCTTTTTCGCGGCATTTTCCTTTTTACGGATATCCGTACGAAGCCTACGTAATATTAGCTTGTCACTTAATAAACTGTCCTCTTCACTCTCAAGATAGTCTAGTAAGGATTCCAAATGATTAAGCGCAGCACCATGTGATACTTTCTTACTGGCAACACTGTCCACCTCTTCCTCATTCTCACTTTCTTCCCGCTCTTCTGGCTGCACCCCCATTGAAGTTACGATTTCGTCACTGCTTAACATTTCGAAGCCCGGTTCACACGAGTCACAGTTAAACCACTCTCTTATATTTTCCTCGTTGACTTCTTCACCACCATGAACTTGGTTAGCCACTTTTGTCAATTTTATGGCTATCTCATTTTCACTGAATCCAGTGAATCCATGGATTTCGTCATCTTCATTAGTGATGAAAGGCATCAGTTTCTTCCATGAATTTTTCAATACAGATGGCTTTACTGTATCCCACGCTGTTGAAATCTCGTATATGGCATCTAATACTGAAAAGGACTTCCAGAAACACGTCAGATCATTGCCTTCATCGATGTACTTTTGTAGCAAATTTGATCTGTAGATTCTCTTCATACTTGAGATAACTCCTTGATCCATTGGTTGGATAAGTGCGGTAACATTAGCGGGAAAATATTTCACAAAAATATTTCCATCATCTGACCTCAGGAGACTTTCGTTAGGATGTGAGGGCGCATTGTCAATGAGGAGCACAGCTTTCTCAGGTAGGCCTTGGGATTTTAGATGGTCACGAACTTGAGGCACGAATTTAAAATCAAACCATTCTTTAAATATCGCTCTATTCATCCAAGCTACTTTCTGGTTAAAATAATGGATAGGCAGACTTGAAGCTACTGTTCCTTTAAAAGAGCGTGGTCTTTTCGCTTTGCCGATAACTACTGGTATTAGTTTGTGTGTTCCTGATGCATTAGAACAGCACAAGACTGTCAATCTCTCCTTACTGGATTTGTGACCTGGAGCCTGTCTTTCATTTTGAAATGCCAATGTTCTGGTTGGCAAGCATTTCCAATAAAGACCCGTTTCATCGGCATTATAGATTTGTTCTGGCAGCAGATTTTCACTTTTCACAAAACTATCAAAATTGGTGCAAAATTGATCTGATGCTGACAAGTCCCCTGACAATTTCTCACCTTGAATACTGATTTCTCGTATTCCATGACGCTGCTTGAAACGTGTTAGCCAACCGGAAGAAGCGTCAAAACTCCCTTCTAGTTCAAGTGCTTCGAAAAAATATTTAGCTTGTTTAGCACAAACTGGTCCTGTTATTGTTGTTCCCTGTGCCCTTAGTTGATTAAACCAGGTCAGCATCGCTTTGTCGAGATCATCGTATGTTGATTTCTTCATGGTTTTTCTCTTCTTCATTCCGCTTGAATTAGAAGACGAAGCAAAGGAAATTAACTCATTCTTTTGTTTTTTCAAATCACGAACAGTTTGTTCTCCAATACCGTATTGCATTGCTAATTGTTTAACTACAGCTCCTTTTTCCAGCTGATTGATAATTTCAAGTTTCTGTTGAATACTTAACACAACACGCTTCCTTTTAAACCCCGACATTTTGCTAACGCACTTGAAGATCTATATTAAGAAACTGATACTTACTTTCACAATGCACTCTCACACTGAGATGGTACCGTTAAATAACCTGGGGCGGTGTATTTGTCCTTGAAACTTTCCAAAAATTCTTGCATTCTTTCACCCCCACCCTAGAACATTGTGTTCGCATAACGGGACGAAATAATGCAGAGCTCGGTTCACACTAGTGCGAAAATAGTGTTAAACTCACCATGTGAAACAAAAGTGAATGAATATTAAACAACATATAAACTTAAAAAAAAAGCCCCGGTTAAGCCGCAAACCGGTTAATCCGCCCCCGGATAATCGAGAGTTGACTGTATCGCCAAATGAAACCAAAACATTACAGACTGCATGGTTATACTTGATGGCAATTTTATACCTATCTTGATGACATGTGAGGGTTGTTCAAAAAATCTGTCTGGGGAATTGACCTGGGCAAAGGGGCTGTTAAAAATAGTCCATGGGTGCCAAGCGAGGCATCCCACTGATACACCAGTATATAAATCCCCCTTGCAATGAACTTCCTGGGCTGCTGCTGGAACCACTGCAAACCACTGCAACCTTGCCATCTTCATTATCCAACTCAAATATAAGACCCTTTAGCATTATCTTGAGGGGCTGAACATGTCAACAGGTTTAACAAGTAAAACCCAACTGCATGTTTGTTCCTGTCAAGAAATAAATAAATCCACACTGATTAAGACACCCCAGAAATCTCAGAAAACCCAGAGTTAGGTGGCAACCTTGACTGACTTTCACAGAGATCCAAGTCCTACACCCAAACGAATAGACTGGAGGATGAGAACAAGTACAAAGGTATGAATATAGGTGTAAAGCAGAAACTGAAATAATATGGAAAAAAGAAATCCAGACTAAACAGATGTTTCAGAAACAGAAAATCTCTTACACAATGGACAACGCATACTGCCCAGTTCGGCTTGGACGGACAAGAAAAGTGCCATCGGGCTGCCCACTCAGCAAGTGTTCTGCATTCTTACGAGTACAGTTCTTCAGAAGCCAAGTTCCCTCATGCTGATGTGGCATATCTTCTACCTTCACATCTGACTGGAGGTCTTCCAAGGTCATTTCAGAACATTCTTCAGCCATCAAAAACTGTGTTATACATTGCTGCCTTATTCCACGCTGCTTTAAGCACCTGTGGATCAAAACAATTTACCTGCCATTAAGGAGGTTAAAAATTGGCCATTAATAAAATTATCTACTGGTATCTGAAAATAAGTCTACAAATATTATTCATGATTTATTCTGGGCATTGCCAATTTCAGAATAAGAAAACTCTGGTGCATCATAAAATTAATTTTCATTAAACTTTAATATCTGTGCATTTAGAACCAGACCATAGAATTCTCAAATTTGGTGCTGTGATACTGTAATCCAAAAACTCCTAAATACCAACAAACCAAAAAAAAGTTATATCAACTATGGATGGTGATATCAAATTATAGCTCAAACATACAGCATATGAACTGCTTATGATCTGTTATATGTATCAAAAAATTAATAATTAATAATCTCATTTGGATAAAGGTATTGGTAGGAACAGTAATTATAACTACCTTATTCTGATGCATCTCTGCTCAAAACCAGGCACTTGTTTTTGCCCTTCCTGAGGAGAAGCCAAATCTGCAGCTACTCAAAAGTTTCCCAGCATTTTATGGAACCCAAAGGTTCATTACCATGTTCACAAGAGCCCTCCACTGGTCCCTATCATGAGCCAGCTCAATCAAATCCATGCCAACTTTGAAAAATACACAGTAATATATTTCAGAATACAACTCTCTATCCTTCTGTACACAATAAAGCTCTCCATTACACATGGAATAACTTATCTGTACTATCTGAGAATTTAACATTAACTGTGGTGAGGCGCATCAGTAATTTATTTATATGAACTCACCGCTGATATTTCTCTTTAAGCCTGAAGAGATGGATTATGTCTGCATTTAAGGTGAGCATCTCTCGTTCCAAAGTGTGGCAATATGCAAACTGTTGCTTCAGCTTATCTTCCACCTGTCTCTGGCCATCCTGCACACTCTTCAGGTGATGCTTCAGTAGGTTAATGTTGTCATGTGTATTCTGTATTTCACTGGCTTGTGTATGCTTCTGAAAATTTTCCAGTAACACAATTTGGTTCTCAAAGATTTTCATAGCGACCTGGAAGGCCTCCAAAGCATATCGTTTTAAACACACATCCCGACTTGTGCAGGAAAAATCTTCTGCATAACCTTCAAATATGTTTACTTTAGCTGTGTATTCCTTGTGGACATTCATGAGCATCTTGGCAACTGACACAGTATCACCTAAAGCGGCAGTCTCATGTCCCTGCAGAAACAAGAAATCATTGCAGAACTTATATCAAGAAAAGTTACTTCATTGAGGAAGAAAGTATAGCATCAATGATTTACACAACTGTAAGTGGCCTATTCACAAGAATAACAAGTTAATACAGCAATGGGAAAATATAAAATGCATTCATAAAGCCGGTGAAGCTTAATATTGGTAAAAAAGGAACACAGTTATTAAAACTAGCATAATGGCTAAGTGCCACACGCAGTAAAATATTAGTGTAGATGAGAGTGACATTTCCTTCTCCTGTCCTGTTGCTTTTACAGGCTTGAATACCAATAGTCTGAAAAATTAGAACTCTCCTCTTAAAAACCATTAAGTGACATTAAATGGCATAATTTGCATTGTTATTTCTTACTTTATGAACACAGTTTGAGTGGATAATATAACAATCAATTTATGCTGAGCCAAGGATGGGAATATGGATGATATTCAAAGCTGTCAGAGTCCATAAACCTGAATCATTCTACAAATCAGTGCTTATGTCTCTAAGCATTCTCTATTGCTGAGCAATAAGAGGAAATTAGTTTTCAATATCTGCAATATTTTGACATGAAATCCAAATACTTTGGTCACCCATTTGTTTTTAGCATATTTCTTAAGTTTTACAGAAGCTGTGAACTGAACTACAATTATATACCCAGTTCCAAGAGTCAAAAATACCAGTCATATCTCTAAGTGTACAAATTCATTCATTTCTAAATGTGTACGCCAAACTTAGTATGTCTGTCATTTATTAATTCCAATGTGCAAAGCAAGGAAATATACAAATGTAGGCTATTCTTAGTAGCAATAATACTAGCAGATTCTAAAGGGTTCCAGCAGTGATGTATAACACTCAGAATTACTGGGGTTTTGGACTTTAGCTCTTTCTAAGGGACCTGACAGACTATGTGTCTCCCACTTCACTTGAGGGTGGAAACGGATCCAGATTTCAAAACACTGTGTTTTCTAGTTTTTAGAACACCGGACAACGGACAAGGTCGAAAAACCCAATAATTCTGACTGTTTTGCTAGAAGGTGAAAATAATGCATATTAATACTAATTTATGTCTATTGCTTAAAATATAATTCGGAAATCATGGGCTGTAGGTCAGGATGTCAAGAACTGTATTAAAACGGAGTGAAGTTGCTGTTTCTAGAACAAAAATTCCATACTTTGTAAATTGGTAGGGATATTAAAACAAATTACTCTGGCATCACAAGTGTGAACAGCACAGTTTCCTATCAATATTTCACTGAAGAAGACCACAGTTTGATGTTATTACAATATTTCAATGAAGAAGAGCATAGCTTGATGTTATTATATTTGTCTTTGTGGACTTCTCCTCTGATATGTGCTCTTTCCTTTCTCATATTTCACAGGGTTAATGCTTTTGAGTAACAACATACAGAACAGATTCCCAATAGTTCAAACAACATGCAGCCTTCAATCTTATACATTATGTATGTGTTTTAAAATTGAACGAGAAAGATAACAGGGAACCTGTACTGAACCACTATGGACAAATGTGAGATCATTATCATCCTTGTCTTTCACCCCAACCTGTGAATCACCTCTGTTCCTTTAGTTAAGAAGTTGGCTAAAAGTCCTTTATAAAACATTTACGAACAGTATTGCGATTAAAACTATGCGTGTAAATTACGAAATTCAGAAAGAGATTTTACTGTCTTTTCTTCCAATAATCGGCACCATGCCTTTCTGTCTTGCATTCACTATCAGTTGAAAGAAATATTTTAACAGTGTTTCAGTATTTCTTGGGGGCACATGGTAGTGTAGTTGGTTGAGGCAGTATGCTACAAGCCAGTATGTCACGGTCACGGGCTTGAGTCCTGATGAGGTTAATTTTTTTACAATTTACCTGATCCTTCCAGCTGCACTATGGCCTGGGCCAACTCAGCCTCTAGCAGAAATAAGTCCCAGGAATCTTCCTGGGTGGTAAAGGGTGGCTGGCGCGTAAGGCTGACAACCTTGTCGCCATTTGTGAGCTGAGTGTCTACAAAAAATGTGGCAGCTTTGACATCTCACAACCCTATGGGCCTTAACGGCCTGTTACTTCTTTTTCAGTATTTCTTACCTTTTCTTTTCTTGACACTGGGTAAAGCAATTTGATGTCCAGCACAGAGTTGTATTGTGCCAAGGATGTGGTGCGAAAATGATGGATTAGCTCTGTGACTGTATCAAATTTAAATGGCTCTGAGAAGCCATATTTCCCATTTCTCTGAAGGATCTTGATCAATTTGTTAGAACCCCCTTTTCGCAGAGTCAAAGTATATTCTCCACTCTTACTTGATGAATTTCGCACCAAGAAAGTTCCATCTGGTGTATCCATAAACTTTTCATTGACGTCCTCTCTGAAATTTCCAAGTATAAACAGGCTTTTAAGAGAGAATACTCGTAGTACAATTGCAACTTTGTTCACAAGGTTATATGAATGAACTAGGATAAAATTCAAGAACACCTATGCATAATATATATTCCAAAAGCAAGCATTCTTCATTCTCCTCAGAACCTCCACCTGTTCACTGCCATCTATAAGAGAATATGAGGACTATTCGGAAATTAACCTCCATTTATTTTAGGCAACTAAGGTAGAAGTGGAGGAGAGCCCGCACATGTGAGGCAGTCACATGACTCATCATCTTGTAAACCATCACACAACTGGTCACCCATTGTTTTTCTTGTCTCTACAGAGTTATGATGTGTCCTGTAGTTGATAATCTCACCAGCTGTGAAATTTGCACTGTTATCTGGTTTCTTCATGCTAAAAACATGAGTGCTGCAGATATCCATTATGATTTATGCATGGTTTATAACCAAAATGTAAAGACTGAAGGAACTGTAAGACAATGGTGTACAATGTTCAAAGACACGTGATCACGATGAAGAGCAACGTGGTCGGCCAGCCATCTTTACTGAGTGATGATCTGTTCAAAGTGTTGACCAAAAAATTTGTGAAAGATGGCACTTCACAATTTCAGAACTTCTGCGTCAATTTCCATCAATTTCACACACTTCTCTACAGGATTCTTGTAGTTAGGCTAGGTTATCATCACAAGTTTTGCACAAGATGGGTTCTGAAAATATTCATAGGTGTGCAGAAAATGGCCTCGGTTTGACTTTTTTTAGAGTGATACCACTAAGATGGCGATGAATTTCTTAATCACATCACATGAGTAACAGGTGATGAAACTTGGTTCCATTCATGAATGTTGAAACCAAAGGAGCAGTCAAGGAAGTTGACATACACAGTCACCAAACAAGCCAAAAGAGTTGAAAAAAATGTTGTCTGCCTGTCAGAAAGCATATGGACACTATTTTCTTGGACAGAACTGGAGTTCTGATGGCGGAATTCACGCAACAAGGGACCACAATAACATCAGAATGTATTGCAAAACATTAAAAATATTTCATCGGGCCATTCAGAAAAAAAGGCGTGGAATGGTGATATCTAGCGTACTTGCAGTGCTCCTCCATGACCATGTGCATCTGCATACAGCTGCTTGCACTCAAGCTGTGCTGAAGCATTTCAACTGGGAGCTATTTGACCACCCTCCTCACAGCTCTGATCTCACCCCAAACTACTATCACCTGTTCACCTAACAGAAGAACTGGTTGGGATCACAGTGCTACAACAATAATAAAGATTTGATGGAAGGTGTGAAAACTTGGCTGAGCTCACAGGCAGCAGACTTCTTTGACACAGGCATACAGAAACTTATTCGCTGATATGACAAGTTCCTCGATTCTGGCAGCAACTATGTTGAAAGGTAATTGAAGTTTGTACATAAGTATTTTTTGCACATAATAAAATGTTCTCCTCGTTGCTTGTTTTCCTAACAGTTCACTGGAGGTTACTTTAAGAACAGCCCTCACATAAAAATGCTAATAAATATTTTTGTCTGGAGACCAATAACTCGTAAGTTTCTCTTTCTTAACAAGTAAAACTTTGCAAGTAGGATTTTAAGTGCATCATGGAAAATAATCATCATAAAAAATGTGAATAAGATCTAAACGTTTGTGATGATGGTACATTAGTACCATTAAATAAAAAGGAAGGGGATTTGAGATAAAGACAGAACAATGGATAGTTTCCAGAAACATATTTGTATAAAAAGTGTGGTTAAAAAAATAAATCTTGTTAAGATGTATTTCAATAGCCTCCCACCCACCTCAAGATGGAAACGGATCCATTTTCCCAAATGTTGTGTTCTTCAGTCATTTAGAATACTGGACAATGAACAAAGCCCAAAAACCCAGTAATCCCAAGTGTTATACACCATCGTCAGAGCACTTTAGAATCTACTCCAACATGACAAGTTTCCTAAGTTCTTTCAGGGAGTAGATAAAGACATTTCCATGGCTTCTTTAGGCAGATATTATCCTCCAATTTATGTTGTCTACCGGGCGATATGGTCAACTTATATGGATCTGGTAGTCAAGACACTGATCTTCTGAAGCTGGGTGAAATGTCTCATATTGATGCCCTGCCATGCAACAGCTTACTTGTCCAGATGATTCAGAGAGATATGCTGATAGTGTTCCTTCACCCTGGGGTCAGTCAAATGACCTGTCTGCCCAATGTAAACCTTAGCGCACACACACTACGTGGACCCAGTGTCATCAACTCTACGTTATCCTTGGCCAGCTCAAATAAGTCAGAAATATTCCTTGGAGGGAGGCCAACTGACTTATGTTGTGTTAGGACAGCAACCTGCTAATGTGGGCAAAGGCTGGCCCAACAGAGGGCAGAAAAACAATGAAAACAAGATCTTTGATAGGTGCAGCAAGTTTTAATCTATTTACATACAAGAATGATAGCCATACTCTAATCTTTCTTCAGCGCATTTCCACTTTTGTGGATTAGCCAGGATATGTCTTCTTTCTGCATGTATCATAGTATGAATGTGCCTTCATTAGTGTCCAGAAGTGTGCTATAATTAGTGGTTTGTATAGTATGCATACTGGCAAACAACTTGTATGTATTAAGAAACTTATCAGCCGTCAAAAGTCAAACATGTCAGTCCATCCTGAGGCTAAAATTGTGCATCATAAACTGGAAAACAAGTTTTCAGAAAGAAGAAGTGGCATAGCTGCAATTATATTACTTCCTATCCCACAGGCTAGAGTAACTTCTTATCTACTGTCATAATGTCCATTAAATTTTCCCTTCAGCCATTTCCAGTCCTGAATGGACTCAAAAACCACAATTTAAGATGAGATTCTTTACCATAATACAGACAAACTCACCTGCTTATGTTCCCCCAGTACCACTCAGCATCCTGTAAAGATGACGGACACTCACCAACATCAATTTCCATCTCAAAATTCCTAAGGTTTGTTGTTCTAGCTGCAAACAGTGGCCTTTCCACACCCCAGTCCGCATGAAGCAGCAACATTTCAACAATCCGAAGATGAGCTTTAGTATTATACACCATATCACTGTGGATACAAAAATTATAGCTTACACAGTTGTCTAGTGTATAGATCTCCTGGTGAAATATCATACATGTCACTACCATAACTGCAACCATGTGCAGATTTAATGCCTGGTAACTGCCTAGGGCCATAGAGCATACACATTTTATGTTACAGTGACATCCATCTTTGCAACAGTAGTGTCATTGCTTGCCATTTTGTTTCCATACCAAACTGGAACATCTTAACTGCAGCATTACCCGAAGTCACAGAACAGACTAAACAAGTTGTTAAAAATTAGTTTAAAATGTAAGAGGTACAGGTTCATGACAGGACAATAAGAAAGATAACCGCACTTTACCTTATAGTTCAATTTATGCTACCCTTCAAAAATAAAAATGAGGATTATTCATTGGTTCTAGTCAACTAAAAATTCAAGCTCGAGGCCTTGTATGAAGTTCAGTTCATAGAACTCTCATATTTGTTGAACAATTTTGATACCCCACGGGAGTTCCATGTTATTCAAGAACAAAAGTGTGTAACTATTAAAGATGTGGGTAACATGTGCAACCCAGACGGATTTAGATTACCGTCTTCTTCAGGGATGTAAGACCATGTGGCAGGAGTTTATTTAGGTCACTCTTCTCTTCTACCATTAAAGACAGAGAGAGCTTGTTCCTCCAAAATATTGGTAAATGACTACACAGTGTCAGAACCCAGAAGGCAGAAATGTTTAGTCATCTAAAATCTCAGAGTGAGAATTAATTACTCCTCTGTCACCTGCTGCAACAAAGCAAATTACCCAACCACATATCACTAGCAACAACTTAATTGTACTCAATAACAGCGCTGCATACTGGCAGGTATAAACTTTTCACTGTTATCTCACTGCATGCTACAACTTTAGTGTTACATATCACTGATCCTGCGCATGTGTCTGGTATGCACAGGTGCTTCTGGGAATACTATGCATGTGCCCAAATCCAACCCCCCACCCCTTTCCCAAACCATTAAAAATTCAAAACCGTGGAAAATAAGGATATTAGATGTTAATAATAAAAATTAAACATATTTCTCAATCAGTACAAATAGCCATAAATGTCTGAAACAAGTTTGTAAGCAAGTCTTTCAGTTACATTTGGCAAGCATGCAAAATAACTTTGGAAATACCCTCCTATAATTTCTCCCCCTGATAAAGAGCAAAATTTTCTCAAGAGATGCAAAAGTCAAGAACTGTCTTCCAAACAGTATATATCTGCACTCAAAGAACTAAATTTTGACTTTCAGATGCATCCAGAATACATGATTTCTGTTTTGCCAACAAACTAACTTTTTACTATCTTCTAAAATTTTTACAGGTATTTTACTAAAATGATACTTTTCAAATTGAGGATTCTGATGATTATAATAAAGTAACCAATTATCTAAATCTTACCATAATTCACTCAGACTTGTATACGTATTATCTTTTTATATGTAGCTGTAACAAAAAATTCCTGTTTTCTCAAAATTCTCACATAGGTCAATGTTTTTGGAGGGAACAGGATTCTAGTTGCAATGAACCTACAGATATCATCTACAGATGATCCTTGCATGCTACTTTTAACAGTGATACAGGGGCCAAGCATAGGGTTAATCTGCTGTAGCGGGTCACTTTCACAGACCATATTACGAGTGTTTTTTTCACAGAAATTAAGGGTACAGGGCACTGGATTCTCGAAATGTAATGCATAGCCTTGTTGGTATGGTTTTATGTTTCCATTTTCTAAAAACGGGATTTTACTGGCTGTTTTTATTTGCCAACTTGCACCTATACTTATTTAAACAACGGTTATATTACTGACCATACACTCGTCATTTGCAACCTTGTTGGACTGGGCTACAGAATTAATTGCTGCACAAAACCTTATTTAGATTAACTATAACGTAAAAATCTATGTTGTTCTGATGAATATGTATACCCAAGTAGGATATGGCAGTAAAGATGATAACAATCTTGGGTTGAACCAAGTCAATGAGAACATTTTACTTCAGTTTATCCTCTTATATTGATACCTTGATGATATATATTTCATATGTTTTTGTGTAACACCTTGTATAATCAGTGATCATAAATTTCTGGAAAAAAAAAACCTTTTTGTCTTACATTGCTTTATTCCATGGTGGTCTAAGTATGGCATAACACAGAAAATCAATTATGCGAGTGGGTAGCTCTGTCATTCCACGAGTGTACTGCAACTGGCAAATCTGACAGAAGTGGACCATCAGGAAGCGTAGGGTAGACTTATGACGTTCTGGTAGTTCTTGTACTAGACGGCTTACGCATGAGGCACACTGTTCATCATTGGTGATGCCTGCAATTATGTAACAGTCACTAACCAGTCAAATGAAGAAACAAAGGGAGGAATTAAAAAATTGACAGTGGCATCCATATGCAAGAAGTACTGTGTTCTTTGCACCTAATGTGAAACTCAAGTTTAATTCTAATGCTTCAACTTTCAAATGTAATTCTCTATGCTTCATACATTATGCATTATTCAAAAGCCTGTCTAAAACCATTTCATACAATTAACTAGTAAGAGTAAAAGTAAGTGAAAAAATGTAAAGCTATCCCTGCAACAGGCCGTGAAGGCCCGTAGGTTTGTGAGACGTTGAGGGTCCCACATTATCTAGACAATCGGCTCAAAGATGGCAGTAAGGATGTCAGCCCTACACGCCAGCCGCACTTCACTCCCCAGGAAAATGATTTAATTAATTCGTGGTACTCATTTATGTTAGAGGCTTAGTCGACCCCAGGGCCATAGTGTGGCAGGAAGGATTAGGTCAACTGAAAAACATCCAATGACCTCATCGGGATTTGAACCCATGACCTTCTGGCTTGTAGCACAGTGCCTCAACCAACTACGCTACCACATGCCCTAACTAGTAAGAGTACACATTCAATTCTATAACTGTTTTATTACACACTTTCTACATTTGCTACCAATTTTTTCAAACTTCTATTTCTTTACATATCTACACCAAATTATTTAAAACTTTTTCATCACTATACGAGCTTTATAACTAATGAAATAGAGAAGCTTTCTGAAGCCTAGGGAGGAAGAGACAGACAGTCTGTCAGGCAAGCTCAGTATATTCTATTTTCTAGCCTCCCACTGACTCCATCAGCAGCTGAAAGATGGAAAACACAGCAACATAAATCTGGACTATAAGCACTGCAGTGAAGCATGCTGCAGCCACTACAGCCAAGAACAAGAATTTTTTCTGAATTTATGTAACTGGGCTTTCCCACCTTACTGAAGCATCATCCTTTCTCAGTAAACATAGCATCTTCTTGTAACTACATTCTCACATGTTCAAATAATCCAGAGAGATATCCAGCAGTAACTAATTCTTATTCCAATTTACAACAGAAATCAATGTGAACGGCCTCAACATGATACCATAAGACAGCTACCTTAGTGTTCCTTCAGTCGGTTACTTAATAACACTTTCAGTATCGGGGCTATACAGCACCAATGATAGGACGATTAATGAATATGGAGTAATCAGTGGAATGAAATCTGGCTGGGGGAAACCAAAGCACTCAGAAAAAAAAACCTGCCAAAGCACTATTTTGTCCACCACTAATCCCACACGACCTGACCTCTTACTGGACCTGGGCCTCTGTGATGAGGAGACGGCAACTAACTGTCTAAGCTACGACATGGCCACTTTGGCATTACCTGCAAGAGATTTACTTTCAGTTTACTCTGGTTTAGGCAGATTTTTGTGCTTCCTTTCTCCTGATACTCTTCAGCTTTCTGTCATTACAAGTAGAGATGAATTAAATGACGATTTCTCTTACACAGTCATGAATCTCCCCTAGAAGGTATCATTTATGCTACAAAGGATAATTCAGCAACTCATCATTGAANCGTAATCAGTGGAATGAAATCTGGCTGGGGGAACCAAAGCACTCAGAAAAAAAAACCTGCCCAAGCACTATTTTGTCCACCACTAATCCCACACGACCTGACCTCTTACTGGACCTGGGCCTCTGTGATGAGGAGACGGCAACTAACTGTCTAAGTTACGGCATGGTCACTTTGGCATTTCCTGCAAGAGATTTACTTTCAGTTTACTCTGGTTTAGGCAGATTTTTGTGCTTCCTTTCTCCTGATACTCTTCAGCTTTCTGTCATTATAAGCAGAGATGAATTAAATGANCGATTTCTCTTACACAGTCATGAATCTCCCCTAGAAGGTATCATTTATGCTACAAAGGATAATTCAGCAACTCATCATTGAATATGCCTGCAAAAGTGAGTTTGGATAAAATTATAAGGTATAATGGAAGAATCTTACCAGATACATCAATGAACTTGTGGTACCACTGGACGGGAATGACGGTATCCGGAAGCTCCAGCAGAAACTTCCTTAGAACACTTGAAATAGTAGAAAAATCATACCCGGACAAATCCACACTCATCACATCTGCAANTTACGGCATGGTCACTTTGGCATTTCCTGCAAGAGATTTACTTTCAGTTTACTCTGGTTTAGGCAGATTTTTGTGCTTCCTTTCTCCTGATACTCTTCAGCTTTCTGTCATTATAAGCAGAGATGAATTAAATGATGGTTTCTCTTACACAGTCATGAATCTCCCCTAGAAGGTATCATTTATGCTACAAAGGATCATTCAGCAACTCATCATTGAATATGCCTGCAAAATTGATTTTGGATAAAATTATTAGGTATAATAAAAGAATCTCACCAGATACATCAATGAACTTGTGGTACCACTGGACGGGAATGACGGTATCCGGAAGCTCCAGCAGAAACTTCCTTAGAACACTTGAAATAGTAGAAAAATCATACCCGGACAAATCCACACTCATCACATCTGCAAGGAAATAAACAAGTAATTATGTGACTGGAACCATAAATCCAAATTCTGTCACGACCATTAAGTTGTAATGCAAGAGTAATGAACAATTCAGCCTTAAGAGGACTATCTTCAGGAAAGTGACACCATGAGTACTATATGCACTAACGCATATATAACAGATGCCTGACTCGCTCAAAAGCAGCATGGTTACAGAATAACACATAACAGCCATCTAATATGGACAGGACGTTTTACATGAGCTTCCTCTAGTGCATTAGAAATGTAAGATGTGTAACTAAGGGGAGTGAGAGATATAGCAAATTACACTCCTTTCAAGGTTTCACTTTAAATGAACGTTCACAAGAAACACAGGAAAAGTATAGTTCATTTTCCCTCCAAATATTTGAAACTACTTACATATTTTATAACTCGTCTCTGCTATATTTGTATTGACCTCTCTCCTTTCAATTCGTTCAGTAGACTGATTAATCCTACTGCATTTGAAATAAACTGTATGGTGATAAGGGGCCACCTCTGTGGTCCAGTGGTCAGAGTTATTCCCGGCGCTACCAGATTTTCTGAGAAGTATTGGTTCTGGAACGGGGTCCACTCAGCCTCGTGAGGATAAGAGGATAACTGAGGAGCTATTTTAAGGAAATAGCAGCTCCGGTCTAGAAAACCGAGATTAACGGTCGTAGGGATTCGTTGTGCTGACCACGTGACACCCTCTATCCGCTAAAGTTGGCACTAACTTTGGCAACAAGCGGCGGTCGCTCGGTCAGTATAGTTCGCTTGCAGACTCAAGCCACGGAGTTTGTTTTGGTGATAGGGACAAAGGAAGAATAATGTTGTATCTGACTCTGACAAACAAGTTCATTGAAGAATTTACCACAATTTTTGTAACTTGTTGAACCTCCCCACATTTTAATATACATCTGTTTGTCAAAAATAAGTAGTTAGTGATCATACTAAGGTGGACAGTTCATATACCCCATGTTAATAGTTGAAGGTTCCTTTTAATACAATCTTGAAATGGTTTCTAATACAGATGTACAGAACATTCAATGTTTTGTATTTGGAATTATTGCTTCGATAATTTCAGTTATCTTTTATTGGCTCTGTCTGGGAAAGTGTACTCTTGCTACATAACATAGAACAGATTAATTTTGTTTACACTGCCCAAATTATCATTAAATAAACTTTAGGAATTTTGAGCAATTTCCTGAAAAACAGAACATTTCATTGTGTTTATTTCATATATCAGTATGGTAAAATATGAAGTGTTCCTAAAAATTAATTCTTCATTTGCAATCTACCATTCTGTGCTTGAATTTTATTCAATGGCCCCAGACAAAATTCCACCAAAATTCATACATAGAACCTAAAACGTTTTTGAAGTGCAAATCTTACCTTATTTCAGCACAAAAAATTAGTGTAAAAATTGTCTGATATGGAACGTACTTGAATATTATTCCCAAGTTTAATAACAATCACCAGTAAAAATAGTAGTTTTCGAAGTCATTGCTATGAGAACCTCAAATCTAATAACTATTTAGCCTGAAGAGTTCTATATTCTGGGTTATAACACTGTGTTCCAGTCTAGAAAACCGAAATTAACGGCCATGGGGAACCGTTGTGGTGACCACATAACACCCTCTATCTGCAAAAGTTGGAGCTAACTTCGCTGACAAGCGGTGGTTGCTCGGTCGGTATAGTTCGCTTGCGGACTATAGGCCACAGACACTGAAGGTTAACTGAAACTGCCTTCCTTTATGGAGGAAGCTCTGTGCTTCTCTGGTAAGAATTGATTTTGTCTGGCATAAAGGGTATAAGGTCTCGCATAGACAATAATGTCATTGGGTTCACATTCTGAAAGATGAAGGAGAGCTCATGACTGCACTGTAAGCTACATGAATAATTACTAGCTTTCTGGATCCCTAGAGTTGTATTGTCTTAATTATCTGAACAGATTGGTAATCCAAACCTGGCAAGCCATTAAGTAGTTTCTGTAACTCCCATTCTGTTGTACTAACATTACAATAGGTGTGTGATATGGGTACCTCTACCAGTAAACCTACTCCCACTTTTGGTATTTTAAGGTACGAAGAATGGTCATAAATTTCTCACAGACCACAGTTATTAACAAAAAGATTGTGGAGCTGATTCTAGTAATAGGATGGTAGGAATCCTAACAAGTGAGGTGAGCATATGAAATGCAGTGCATACTGGATCTGGTAAAGAACATTTCTACCAAATCCTGTAACAGTGCTGGTGAATGTATAGCAGTGAAGATGACCAAGTCTGATGTAGCATGAACAAACAAAGCTACAAGGGACCCAAGTCAGGTTACAGAAACATCCTTAGACAACACAATGGGCCATGCCATAGCTCAAGCGGCTAGTCGCTGGCTTCCCACCGCGGTGGCCCAGGTTCAATCCCAGGTCTAGTCAAGTGGGATCTGTGGTGGACAAAGTGGCGCTTGGGCAGATTTTCTCCGAGTGCTTCGGTTTCCCCTGCCAATCTTCATTCCATCAATTGCTCCACAATCACCCTCACCTATCATCTGGGGCTGGTACAATAGGCCAGAAGTGGCCACAGTACAAGGGACTTAGTCCCACCCCACTAGCAATAGACAACAAAATCATCATTCTTTCAAGTCGGATGCTATAGAATGTGAAAGCCAAAGAATAAATGTTTACAGAATGCAATAGGTATGTAATAGGGGGGCACGCGGTAGCATAGTTGGTTGAGGGGCTATGCTACAAGCCGGAAGGTCACGGGTTCAAGTCCCAATGAGGTCACTGGATTTTTCTCAATTGACCTAATCCTTCCAGCCGCACTACGGCCCTGGGGTTCACTCAGCCTCTAACAGAAATGAGTACCAGGAATTAATTAAATAATTTTCTTGGGGAGTAAAGCACGAATGGTGCGTAAGGCTGACAACCTTACCACCATCTTTGAGCCCTCAACGTCTCACAACCCTATGGGACTTCACAGCCTGGTACAGGGATAGTTTTACTTTTTTTTACTTTCTTTTAATAGGTATGTAATAAGTGCTCAACCTGCTTGTAATTTCCTTCTCACATCTTCGTACTGGTCAACTGGGGGAGATGCCTGGTACAGCTGATACAAGTCAAGTGTGAGGTCACTACGAGCTCTTGATTCAAGCTCACGAACGCATCTTAACAGAAGCTGTGGCGCTCGATCATCACACGAGTAAAACAGGTAACAAAGACCAATGCCAAAAACTGTCTTCAGTTGATGGTATGGAGGTTGATCCACACTAAAGAAGGAACCCTGATGTCTCAATGCTGAACTCATATGCGCTCCCTGCCCACATTCTGAAACATATTATTGTTGTTGTTGTTATTATTATAATAACAGCATGAAATATGATGATGTGCTGATATAAACAGTAAGGTAATGTCAGAAAAAAAAACCATACAAGTTAACACTCTCTGCATAATAATACTGGACACATATAAAGAAAAACTAAGATAATTTACAGATTATCACAGTTTTTCTGTTTCAGTGTTAAGATTTCCCCCATAATACCCCTATTACTCTGTCCGATTAATTTTAGAAGAAATAAAAATAGCTTTTTTGTATGTATAATTAAAGAATAGGAAGGAACATATGATAATACAGTTATAGTCCACAGTGATGCCACTACGGCCATTTGGTCACTATGTGAAGTACACATAATATCCTTGAAAATGAGGACGAACTGAATCTACAATTTTGCAGCGCATAGACCCACTGCTGGGTAATGGTCATGAAACAATGCCTGTTTCTGAGGCAGCAGATTCTTAATAAATTGGGTAAGGTGCCCTGTTTCTGGGTGACATGAACACATTGCTGTGGAAACGTTTACGAAGTCCGTGCCAAGGAGTTATAAGCAAGCAACCAAGGCACTTCTGTACTGAACTCTGTGAAGAAGACATGAAACTGAAGAATCTCCACTGTTAAAAGCCGTTGCAAGGGAATGGCTTGGGAAGACACAGCAGGCTGGAAATAGCTTAGGTGGTGCTATGGTGATCTGTGAATTGTTGAGATTAGTGGTGGTGCTTATAATTACCAGTCATGAGTATATGTGGTAAATAAAACCATTCGCCAATCCAAAATCCATCAATGTTTTCTTTATTTGAACCTCTATACGTCATACCTGCAGTCTACTAGCCAATGGATTATCAATATTGAAGACTTGGGAATACTTTCATTCATACTTCACCTACTTGTAGTCTCAGTCATAAAACTGAACTAGATATAAAGTGGCTGGATCTTTGGTAATAAGATTTGAATATTCTGAAATGGCACTGAACTAAGGATCCTCAGTTGCATGTAGAAGTAAGGTTAAGTAAGGCCTATACACAAACTACACAAATATTTCACTCTCAAAAAGTTACAACTTATAATGCTAACTTCAGTGACTATTTACAGGTAAAAAGAAGCATGAATAAACGCCACAGTTCTTAGGGTGTCTATTTTCAATTAAATGAAACATGGAGATGCCTCTGTTTTCTTCAAATAAAACCAACAGTAACAAACAATTCATAATCTATTTCATATAATATATTTTCATTTATTATTAATCACCCTTCTTCCTCACAACCTGCCCCAGCCATACATGGCTATCATCAGGTGTCCTCTACCTTCCTAAAACTGTTGCACTGTATAGTACAGGCATGTCCAACTTCAGACAGGTTGTGATCGACTTTTTAGTGTCAAAACTGCCAGTGATCTACCACTCCCTCCTATTGTTGTACCTCGCTTTAAGCAAAAATATTGGTAAAAATAACACAACATATGATGTTTGTTGTAAAAGCAACATACATTGAAAGTACAGACTACTTTAATACGTATTTTCCCTTCAAATCTGAATATTACAAGCGAATTTACGTGCTTTTCACGTATAATTTCCTCATAGGCCTATGAGATTGACAAAAAATCGTCTCGCAATCGACACGTTGGACATGCATGGTATAGTATGTCAAAATTTCACATTGTGTGCAAAAGCTATCTTTCTTAATAAAAATAAATTGACCTTAATTAAAATTAATTAAAACTAGTTAAAATTAAATAATAACCCAGTGTTATCCTTGCAGTAGTCCTTCCATTCATTTAAATGATTTGTTTGTGATCTCTTGTTTGGGGTTTATTTGCATACAGCATGATGTTACTGTGCAGACCTTAAGGATGTTGATGTAGTCTTACTGGTTAGGTTATGTATGCCCCTTTGACTGTAAGTTCTTCACATACAGGGACCAATTACAACCCAACTACACAGGCAGTATGAACAATAATGAGATAACTTCTTGCATGATTCAGTAGACAAAGCAACTGTGTGAATGTTATATTATTTTTTACTTATGTTACTTTTGATGTGAGGTTGTTGATATTTGACATGTCCAATTGTAAGTCTCTACAGCTATGGATGAAATAAATACTAATAATTATTATAATAATAATTATTATAATAATATAAGAGACCGAAAATTACAGTGTGTCCCTGGATGTTACTTTGCAGTTCCACAAAACTAATAACTGAGTTGAGCAGTGAGGTAGAATACTAATTATACATACCCTGACAAAGAAACTGCTGTTGTAGTATTTCCCTCTGATACTTGTTACACTTGTCACATCGCTTCAATATGGCAAAGGTGAGTTCACGAACAGTGTTGACATCACTTATATCTTTGACAGTCAACTGAGCTGAATGGACCAACTCATCTAAGCAAACCATAATAGTTTTCTGATAGAATTCTTCAGTAATTCCCATTTTCTGCAAATTAAATAATTATTTTAACAATTTATATAGTCAGAAAAAAGGCTGAGATCCATTACCAAACTTGACAAATAATCCCATTCACCACTTCTACACTACATGTTTTGGCAGTATGCTGCCATCTTCAGGTGTATCGATCCATCAACCATTTCACCGCTTGCCTTTATATGTCCATTTACAAATAATATTAAATTTGTATATGTCCTTATATAATAATAAAGTTTATATATCTAAAACTTGTTAAAACCTATTATCTCCTACGTCATATTTTTAAATTCGTGTGTATTATTGATCATCCAGATGGGGGGTCGTTCTTCTTATGTTTGTAATGTTGTGTGTATATTACGTCTTATGATGTGTTCTACTCTTGTGGCTGCGTGCGTTGTATCGTTGGATGTGTGAAGATGGCAGCATACTGCCGAAACATGTAGTGTAGCAGTGGTGAACGGGATTGTATGCACCTGAAGACTGTTAATATATACACATTATGAATATGAATCAGTGCAACAGGATGCTAAAACACAACACTGACAAATAAAGCTATATCTTATACAATGTACTTCTCTCATGCCTTGTTCTGTAAATACTGGCAATTACCAGTGTTAATTCCAGTGTCATATTAGGCAGCTAGTCTATAAAGCAGAGATGAACAAGTCATGTAGCATGAATGAGGGCAAGAAAAGCATACAAAATATCAGTTGTGAAACAAAAAGGGAACTGAGACTACCTTGTAGACATAGGTTTAGAAGGCCTATTAATATTAAAATGTATCTTAAAAAATCAATACAAGAATGTGAACAAAATTCTGCTGGCTCGGGATCAGGTCCGAACACAAGGTCTCCTCTGAACATGTGAAACAGTCCCTGGGTTACAAAGAATGATGGGAATCTTGACCAGCTGGGTGAGTATTTTTTTTTTAAATTCGCATAGTGGGTGGGTGAAGTCCAGTTGGGTCCACTCGGCACAGCTGCCACTGATTGGCCTATTGTACCAGCCCCAGATGATAGATGAGGGAGCAATTGGTGGAATGAAGATTGGCAGGGGAAACCGAAGTACTCGGAGAAAGCCTGACCCAGCACCACTTTCACCACCACAAATCCCACTTGACCAGAACTGGGTTTTAACCTGGGCCGCTGCAGTGGGAAGCCAGTGACTAACCGCTTGAGCTATGGCACGGCCTTTGAGTGAGTATTTACATTTCATGAAGATTCTAGGTGACCCAGAGTCACACATTTATAAAACTATTGTTCTTTCGTAGGTATCTAAACCAGAGAAAGTTACTGAATTTGACATAAATTTCAATGAATAATTCTATCATGATAAAACCGCAAAAATTATTATTACATATTACAAACTGAAAAGACAAACACATAACAGTTGTTACAATTCTTAAGCTCTGCATGGTTTTATGAACAGATGTTTGTATCAGAATCTACGTTTTGTGCTTCTAACATGGGAGTTATCAGATCATATGTCTATCAGGATTCAACTGGGGGTTCTATGGTATTCTTCAGTCTGGGCAGGCAAATGACCTTTGAAAACTACGAGTATGTCCCTTGTATCCAAGATCTTGTTACCCTTATAAGAGAACAATAATATTTACGTAGTAACTCCAGTATCAGCTAGTCATGGTAGCTGAGGGGCCTAAGGCTTGCTCAGAAGTCAGGATCATGGATTCAAATCCCACTCAGGGCATAGATATTTAGTGTCTGTGTTCTGGTGTGTGCTATTTTCTGTGTTTTTGTACAGGTAGAGGCTTTGTGATGAGCTAATCACCCACCCAAGAGTCACTACAGACTGTCTAAGATCTAGTAAACCGAAGTGAAGGCAGTACCATAGCTCAAGTGATTAGTTGCTGGCTTCCCACCGTGGCGGCCTGGGTTCGATCCCGGCAGGTCTAGTCAAGTGGGATTTGTGGTGGACAAAGTGGTGCTGGGGCAGGTTTTCTCCAAGTACTTCAGTTTCTCCTCCCAATCTTCATTCCACCAAATTCTCCATCAACATAATCACCCGGGGCAGGTACAATAGGCCAACCAGTGACTGTGGTGCCAAGTGGACCCAGCTGGACTCCACCCCCCACTATGCAAAAACCAAAGTGAAACGGAGAGTTTCATGGCGGTAGACCCAAATTGGAGCTGTAGTGTCAAAGGAGAAAAAGAAATCTCCAATATCAACAATCATTGATTTTAACACTGGAGGAATTTCTGCAGGCTAATGTAAGCAAGTGACAGAAACCAGGTTTTATACTTCAATTTCTTTTTTCAGAAATCACAATTTATAGTGAATTTGTTTTGTTAAATTCTCATGCTGACTTTATTTAACTTTTAAAAATAACTCATGAAATTTGATTCTATACCTGCATGTAGGATTCCCTGTGAAAGAACTACAAAAGAGGTTATAAGAAAGTATTTCACTTGAATACGTGTATGGATAGATCCACAAAAAATTCTTTAATTGGTTTATTTGTGATTTATTTAACAGTGCCGTCAGTAGCTCATAATACAAGGCATTAAAATGGTCCAATGATTAGTGATTAATGGAATTGGAAAGCATATAGGAAGAAATAATTCAGGTCCAATCTGAGGTACTGTCCCAGCATTCTCTTGGAGGGGCGGACGAGAACCTCACACATGACAGTCAGTGACAGAGCAAATATTTTAACTGGGTAGGTAGGACAATGCATTCAGTAAAATGACTGGTTATGGGCTGGACACCCAAGGGGTCGGAGTTTCAGTCCAAGTAGGGGCAAGAATTTTCACTTCTCCATGTCATAAAGATTGGCTCTGGGGCCCACCCAACCTATCCAGTGGGTACCGGGGGCTCTACCTCCAGGGTGTAAAGTGGCCGGGATGTGAAGCTGACCATTGACCTCCAACTAGCGCCTAGGTCAAGGAAACGTGGGTCTAGGCATCCGCTCCCCCATATGTCTTCATGGCACAGGGACAACTTTCAAGTCAAATGCATTATATCTGAAAAAATTTGCCCAGTAAATATACTCTCTTCATGTAAGTTTCATCAATTTTATTTGTACCCTATTTCATGGTAATAAGACAACACCTTATTTGCAAGTATTCTTTGCTTTTATTCAGTTACTTCTCAATTTAAAACAAATAAATGTGTCACTAGAAAATCATAAATCTGCATAAATTGTTATATTATTTTCATTCTTGGCCACAGCAGTAATTTCAATTTGATATAGTTTGCAGCTGCATGTTCCTAAACATCCAACTACTTTCTCACTCCATCTTCACTCATCAGCACGGTATCACAGTTGGTAGGAAATCTTGACGACACAGCAACTCCCAGTACCTTCTCTCTTTCTAACTGCTTGGCACCAGCTAACTTCTCATGACTCTGGATCACTGCCAATCCATTCCGATGTCTTACCATTACTCCAGTGCTGAACAATCCTATTCCAGTATTCATGAACCACTGAACAATAATATTTCTACAATGTAAGTATATTTCAGAAGTTATGACAACTGACTTCGAGTTTGTGTAATTCACATGCTGATACCATTCAACAGTCATGTCTGCAATACTGACCCAAGGAGGAGGATGACCATGGATGGATTTGATATGAAAGTTCAGGGATTAAATGGAATAGTTGTATTTCTCTAAAATATTGTGGTTAGTCTCTCCACAGATATAATTTATTCTGGTACAACAATTTAAATCTTAGAGAGACAGGATGGGATGGTATGGATTGGATTGATCTGATTCAGGATAGGGACCAGTGGAGGGCTCTTGTGAACACAGTAAAAAAACCTTCGGGTTCCATAATATACTGGGAAGTTCTTGAGTAGCTGCACAATTGGCAACTTCTCAAGAAGGGCTCAGCTCCATAAGTGAGTGACAACACTTTAAAAACATAATTATTTTAAGTTCAGGAAACATAAAATGTACCACTACTGTATGCCACAATTTTTTATCTGTAATACGACCCTTGCTGGTCACAGTAGCTGAGCGGTCTAAGGCATGTACTGTCTTCGCTCGCTTGGAAACTGGGATCATGGGTTTGAATCACACTCAGGGCATGGATGTTTAATTTGTGTGTGTGAGTTTTTCTGTGTTTGCGTACAGGTAGAGGCCTTGCGATGAGCTGATCACCCACCCAAGGAGTCCTACCGTATGTGTAAGATCTAGAAAAACTGAAGTGAACGGAGAAGTTCATGGAGGTAGACCTAGGCCCACTGGGGCTATAGTGCCAAGGAAAAGAAAAATAAGACCCTTACCTCCAGTTTGTCAGTACTCAGTTCTAACAAGTCTGAGCCCTTTATCCCCTGCGATTTAAAAGTATCTACATAGCGATGGAGGTTCACTGATGTCATCCACTCTGCAACATTAGATGTTGTCCACTCAGGAATCGACTGTAAAGACAGAAGAAGTCACATATAATAACACATATAATAATCACCTAAGAAACCGTGTACTGGGGATATAGGTTAAAACCATATTTTAATTATTATACGAAATTTAACTAATATGACATTTATATAAGTGAAATGAATCCTGAAGGCATAGGTTGTGAAATGTGAGCTGGGCTCAACTGACTTAGGTGAAGGCTTTTGTGATGATCACAGTGGCCGTGCAGTCTAAGGTATGAAATTTCTTTGCCCGCTCGAACGTTGGGATCTTCGGTTCGAATCCCACTCTAAGCATGAATGTGTGTTTGTGTTTATTCTGTTTGTTTTAGGCGGTAGAGTAGTTGGTTGAGGGCCTATGCTACAAGTCGGAAGGTCGCGGGTTCGAGTCCTGATGAGGTCATTGGATTTTTTTTCAGTTGACCTAATGCTTCCAGCCGCACTAAGGCCCTGGGGCCGACTCAGCCTCTAACAGAAATGAGTACCAGGAATTAATTAAATAATCTTCCTGGTGAGTAAAGCGCGGCTGACAACCTTACCGCCATCTTTGAGCCCATTATCTAGATAATGTGGGACCCTCAACGTCTCGCAACCCTATGGACCTTCACGGCCTGTTACAGGGATAGCTTTACTTTACTTATCAGCCCTGCGAGAGGCTGATCCCCTGCCAAAGGAGTCCTACCGACTGTCTTATGTTAAGAAACTGAAGAGAAACGCTATGCTCCAAGTGAGCAACAGAAGAACGAAGAAGGCTTTTGTAATTAGTGACGAGCCTCTGAGCTCTTAACTGGGAAACACTTGACCAGCTGATTTCACTACAAACTGCACAAAGACTGTGTACTATGAAGTTAGTTACAATCAAAACAAATTTACCCTTTAAGTTCACTTTACCCTAGATATAAGAGGTCCCATGTACAGGATAACCACCGTTATGCAACTGATCATGTGACTGATGGATGGTCTCTCACAAATCCCACATGAAATTATACTGTCCGCATGGCATGGATCTAATGTACCAGGTAACTATCAATCATGATGTCGCTAATTCTTTTACAAGGACTGTGTGGTAACTCCTGTTACGTCTGAATGTAACTCAAACGTAACTCACGGTTGGTGGGGATGTCCTTTTCATGCATCCAGGCGTCATTCTGAACGAAACTGCAAAACTCCTCTTGAACAACCAGTTACTGGCTAGGATTTGTATGAGGCGATATTCAGAGCATTAATACGTAATATTTGTTACATTTTCCGAATTACACTCGTATTATTGACACTGAACCGCCTCTGTGGTCTAATGTTCAGAGATCTAGAGATCTCGGGATCGATTCCCGGCACTACCAGATTTTCTGAGAAATACTGGGTCTAGAATGGGGCCCACTCAACCTCATGAGGATAACTGAGGAATTATTTCAAGGAAATAGCGGCTCCGGCCGAGAAAAACCGAGATTAACGGCCGTGGAGATCCGTTGTGCTGACCACGCGACACTCTATCCGCAAAAGTCGGCACTAACTTCTCTGACAAGCGGCGGTAGCTCGGTCGGTATAGTTCGCTTGCGTATTACAGGCCACGGAGTTTGTTTTTATTATTGACGCTGAAGCATGATCGTTTATATGGGCGTATGAGCAGTCAAACGGTTGGTCTGTTCACCTCGCTTTCGTCAAATAAAGCCATAGAGGATATAAATCTTGACTAATCAAATGCTTGAATAGACGGAACATGAACCATCTAGAACTATACAGAAGAATCTGAGATGCAATTTTAAACATTATAAAACTTCCACTGAACCCAGAGACTCTTGAGCTATGCAGATGATAAGTTAATTTCTTTCTTTTCACTTTGACTTATGGTACGCTAAACAGTGTATAATCTCTTCGAATACGGCAATAACTAGGTCCAATTTCCAAAACTGCCAACAAAACACATACAACTCTAGCAGCAGGAGCAATGTGCGGAATTTTGGTTCCGAGCCTAAGGGAGTTTGTGAATAGGGTTGGTGCTGCGGGGGGCACATTTTGACCTAAAAGGGAGGGATTAACACGAGAACGGAGTTACTTAGCGAAGGTAAAAATTTAAAGTAGTCCCTGTGCTTAAGTAATTAAGTGCCACGCCATGAAAACGTAGATGGGGAGTAGAGGTATAATTCAATCATTCTTGGTCTCGGCACTAGACCGATTTAGCGAAGAGGTCCATAAAAACAGGGGCCAAGATGAATGAATACAAGGCTATATCGCAAAACGTGAAGGGTGAAAGGAGCTGGGAAGACGTAGAATATCTCGTGGCGTTTAGTCTGCAAGCGAACTATAACGACCGAGCGACCGCCGCCGCTTGTCGGCGTAGTGCCAGCTTTAGCGGATAGATGGTGTCGCGTGGTCATCGCAACGGATCCCCACGGCCGTTAATCTCGGTTTTCTAGACCGTGACGTAGCATACAGGAAGGAATTATATCAGAATGAATCTTATGGAAATAGGTTCTGAGGATGCCGTATATACTCGTATTTCAGTTCCTCGCAATAAGGACCAGTGGCTGGCTCTCGCGAACACTGCAATGAACCTTCGGGTTCCATAAAATGTAAAATTCCCACTTAACCGCAGTATTAGCTTTTCCAGAGCAAGGCAGCCGGGACAGCCTACTCGGTATAGCGACTGGCTACGGGCTTGATGACCGAGGGGTCGGAGTTCGAGTTCCGTAGGGTCAAGAATTTTATCATCTCCACGTCGCCCAGACCGGCTCTGGGGTCTACCCAGCCTCCTATTCAATGGGTAGTGGGGGCTCTTTCCCCAGGGGTAAAGCGGCCGGAGTGTGAAGGAAACCACTCACCTCGAACTAGTTCCAAGGTCAGGAAAATGTGGATCTATATATCCATTTCCCCACACACCTTCATGGCGTAGTGCTTCATATGTTAAGCACAGGGACAAATTTACCTTCTACCTTTACCTTGACGGATATTCAATACACATCATAAATTCCGTACTATGCGGATGCATTTTGAATTCCTTCTCTTCCGTCATTTAAAGTTTTTTTTTTTTTTTTTTCTGAAAGGGAAAAGGTGAATGGTTTCGGACGCTCTTCGATTGAAATAAACGGAATATTGTCCACTGTCAGCACTTTTAGGATAAATTAGCGCCAGAAGCTGTACTGACTGATCAACATATGCATGTTATGCTCAACGCCTAACACTTTAAGAGTGAATTTCTTCTACATAACACAGAGTGGCGCAAAAGGCTGTATACCGGAGCGTAATCGTTGTCTGACATGCGCAGAAACGGGTTTTAACATCTGCTTGCCACCTATCCACACGTACAAAGGTGCCACAACACTTCTTCCCGCCATTTCTGTTCTAGATTTCATTACGTTAAAAAAAGAAGCACGGATTTTTGCTTCAAAAACGTGGTGTAAAACTGATTTTCCAGCTACTGTTGCACAGTTCCATCAACACGTAAAGCTGTGACAAACTCTGTCAGGCGCTTGAAAAACACGATGCTGTGTTTGATTCTTCGAAAAAGGGTAGACCGAAAACATAGAAGGCAGAGGATAACAAAGCGTTAATTTTCCAAGCCGTTATCCACAATCGCAAGAAACCTTCTCCGGTGCGCGCAGTCTCTGGACGGTCATGTTGACGGATATTACACGAGCCAAGTTTAAACGTCACATTCCGAGATTAATTTCTGGGTTGCCAAAAGATGGACGAACCTTATCGCATGCTTCACTTTCGTGAGCTCACGTTACAAGAACTTGACGAAGACAGGAAGGGGGGGGGCAATTGAATATATATGGCCGACAATTTGAACATTAAAATGACACTGACATGTAACTCCGTGGCTTTAGTCCGGAAGCGATCTATACCGACCGAGCGACCGCCGCTTGTTGGCGAAGTTGGTGCCAACTTTAGCGGATAGAGGGTGTCGCGTGGTCAGTTCAACGAATCCCCACGGCCGTTAATTTCGTTTCTCTAGACTGGAGCCGCTATTTCCTTGAAATAGCTCCTCAATTATCCTCACGAGGCTGAGTGGATCCCGTTCCAGACCCAATACTTCTCATAAAATCTGGTAGCGCCGGGAATCGAACCCGGAACATCTTGATCTGTAGCCTCCGGTCTAGAAAACTAAGATTAACGGCAATGGCGATTCGTTGCGCTGACCAAGTGACACCCTTTATCTGCTAAAGTTGGCACTAACTTCGCCGACAAGCGGCGGTTGCTCGGTCGGTATAGTTCGCTGCGGAGTATAGGCCAAGGAGTTTGTTTCTGTACTCCATTTATCACTTAAAAGTCTGTCGGGGACGTAAAGATAAGAAATCTAGGAAGTAAATGTCTATGGTTTATTTTAAGATTAGTTATTTACTTTAATTTGATAGGACATAAGAAAACACTGGAAGATTAACGAGAATAATCCATAGCTCAAAGGGGAGTCCAACGCACTGTATTAAACAATTCGATGCCCTTTACAAAAATCTACTAAAAAGTTAAAGTTGTCCCTGTGCTCAAGGAATTAAGCACTACGCCATGAAGGCGTATGGGGGAGTGGAAGTATAGATCCGGGATAGCGCAGTCGGTATAACGACTGTCTAAGGGCAGTTGAAGTCCCTGTAGGGTTAACAATTTTCTCTTCTCCAAATCGACTGGACGGGCTCTGGGGTTCACCCAGCCTCCTATTCAATGGGTACTGGGAGCTCATTCCCCGGGGTGTAAAGCGGCCGCGACGTGAAGCTGACCACTCACCTCCAGCTAGTGCCGAGGTCAAGAAAATGTGATCTACAAAAATCGACATGATTCTAAAATGGCAGGCCTATTAATATTATTTATCTTACTGATGCATTAACGAGGGTTCCGTAGTGGAAACATGATAGGGGAAAGCTGAGAATAACTAGGTTATCTCAGTGAAGCTCTGTACTTGTTCCTCTTCTCGTAGACCTCTGACTGAACTCGTAGTTATGATAAGCTTTTGAAACGCAGCAGACGCTACTGAGCATCTTTCTTTTAATCTAAAACGACCGCCTCTGTCGCCT